GGGGGATGAGAGGGGAGAGAGGGGGTGCATCGATCTGGTAGCTCAAACCCAACTGCATTTTCACTAATTATTCCCACTTCTCAGCTGGTTGTTTGATCACATAAAAGTAGCCCTGTGAGTATCGGCTGCAGCTTTTCTCCAGCCCCACATGGTTCCTCAGAGCCAGACAGGATGGGGAGCACTGAGGCCGCATCTACACAGGCACAAAGTGTATGGGGCCCGTGGGGAGGACATAGGGACAGACTTTCTAAACTTAGTAAAGGATATTTGTGTGTTCGTGTTAAAAAAAAAACACACAAAACACAGTGCAGTCATTCAAAAATAATATACTTAAAAAGAAAATACTTGTCTGTCAAAGGTACTTTCCTCAAATGATACGTGATGTAGACAGATGGAGGTTCTGAAGCCTTTGGGTACAGTGAGGATTTTAAAACCCCCTTGCCCTAAACGGTTTGGCTCAGTGGATAGAGCGTCGGTCTGCGGACTGAAGGGTCCCAGGTTCGATTCCGGTCAAGGGCATGTACCTTGGTTGCAGGCACATCCCCAGTAGGGAGTGTGCAGGAGGCAGCTGATCAATGTTTCTCTCTCATAGGTGTTTCTAACTCTATCCCTCTCTCTTCCTCTCTGTAAAAAATCAATAAAATATATTTTTTTAAAAAAACGGATGGTAAGCAAGACAACCCTGAAGCAGAATAAGTGAGTGGGTCTTTCCTGGCACTTAGGTCTTGTCAGTGGGAATGAAATAAGCAGGTAGACAAATGCTGTTCACACGGAGGCGGGGCAGCAGGGGGTTTGGTTAACCACAAGTTCAGTTTGAACCTGGTGTTAAACAGCAGCAGGAAAAGGAACCCGTGGTGATAGTTACAGTAAGAAAAATCACTATTGGTGTTTGAGCACCTACTAGGGGCAAGCACAGCAGTGGGTACTTTCTTTATATCCGTCCAAGCACCCCTGGCCCTGCCTCCCTGCCTCTGCTCTCCCCCCACCCCCCACCCCACCCCCACCCCTTCCGGATTTGCTGGGCTGAAAGCTCTCCATCTGGGGGCACTCACAGCATTGCCTGCAGAGAGGCTCCCTGGCTCCCCACCCTCCAGGGAAGGTGTAATCCCTAACCGCTTTCCTGAGTGGCCGTGAGCTCTGAGGACAGTGGCTGTCACACTCGGCTCTGCGTCACTACATGTTTTTGACTCACTGGCATCTGTGTTTGTCAGACTAAGATGCCATGGTCATATCCAATCGTAGGACCCAGACACTCAGAGAAAATGTGACAAGTCAGGACTCACTAGAGGAGAGTGACAGGTGGCAAGGGGGCGATGTCCTGGGAATAATGGATGGAAGAACCAAGGTGTCCCTTCAGTTGTCCACTGGACTGTCATGCGCTGTCCAGACACCTTTGTGACTCTGGAGGGCAGGGCGTGGCCTGTCCCAGAACAGGAGGGATGCCTCCCAGCCGAGACCACTCCTCAGCGGGGTGGCTGCTTTGGGGGGCAGGTTTCCCGCGCTGGCAGTTCATTCAGAGGCTCGGCGTCCACTTAGGGCCACTTAGAACGCATGTCATTTTGGGCATGAGAGTGGATCGGGACGTCTCAAGGATTCTGTTCAGCCCTGAGAGTCTACACCAGCCGTGGGCAAACTACGGCCCGCGGGCCGGATCCGGCCCATTTGAAATGAATAAAACTATTGAAAAAAAAGACCGTACCCTTTTATGTAATGATGTTTACTTTGAATTTATATTAGTTCACACAAACACTCCATCCATGCTTTTGTTCCGGCCCTCCGGTCCAGTTTAAGAACCCATTGTGGCCCTCGAGTCAAAAAGTTTGCCCACCCCTGGTCTACACTAAGCATTTATGAAGCACCTGGTCTGTGCCAGGTTCCAGGGCACAGCAGAGAATGAGGCGGGCCTGCCCTCGGAGAACCTACACTATAGCAGGTATGTCGCTTTGGATCTTCTAAGAAGCAGAGGCCAAGGCCCTGGGGACATCAGTGCAGAATGGAGGGAGCAGGCAGGCAGGCGGCTTCAGGCCAGGGTGCAGGTCCGACATCTGTGCCAGCGAGAGAGCAGGAAGGACGGACTGAGTGGGAACCTCTCAGACCACAGCGCACAGGCTGCTGAGTAGACTGAGCAGGGTTTCCCCATCGAGGAGGCCTGTGTCGGGCACTGACGAAGCAGCCTGGAGAAGCATGGCCTCTGTGCGACATGGTGGCATCCAGAGAGGTGGCCGCTGGGACCACTGGTCAGCTCCGTCACAGGCTCTCCTGGAGCTCTGAAAGGCACTTCCATGGCCGCCACCCGGGGGCTCTGGAGAGCGCCGCCCTGCCACCGGCACGGGCCCTGTGAGGACAGTGGCTGTCACACTCGGCTCTACAGCACCGCAGGGCCTCTGTGGTCACGTGCCAGCAAGCCGTGGAGCGGGGTTTCAGCCCACATCCCTCAGGCTCAGTAACATCCTTGTTGTGCTCACTGACACCAGGCTGCACCTCCGATCTCTCCCAGCCCCTGAGGCCGTCCAGGGCGGCTCAGCATGGCATTGACACAGCTTAGCCCGTAACTTGATCCTAGTCAGTTTATACTGGAAGGAAACTGATTTAATCCGAGGTCTGTCTGTTTCTGTGTACAGTGTAATTTCTACCAGACTTCGTGAAGACAAGGCCCAAAGGCCTAGCCAGGGGGAGGGCACCTCTGCCTAAGCATATTCTCTTTTTTAAAAGGCAAGTGGGCTGTAGCTGGTTTGGCTCAGTGGATAGAGCATCAGCCCTCGGACTGAAGGGGTCATGGGTTCTGTTCCAGTCAGGGGCACATACCTTGGTCGCAGGCTCAATCCCCACCCTAGTCGGAGTGCATACTGAAGGCAACAACCAATAGATGTGCCTCTCTCACATCAATGTTTCTCTCTCTGTCTCTCCCCCTCCCTTCCATTCTCTTTAAAAATCAATAGAAAAATACAATCGAGTGAGGTTTCAGGCGCCAGAAGGCAGAGCTCAGCGCTGGTTTCTCTCTCCCTGAGGGTATCACATGGCTCTCTTCTGGGAAGACCATGCCTATTTTGCTCATCACCGACTTCCCCTTAAATGTTTGTTAAATGAATGGTGAACTATGGGGGGAAAATTGCGGCACAATTGCACAAAAAGGCCCTTGCGACTCACTTCTGTTCCCGGACAGAATCCCCAGCGTGAGGTGTGGACAGCTGACATCAAGGTACCCTGGACCCTGAAACCCCAGAGCAGAGCTGGGGGTCGACAGCAAGTTTGAGGCCCAGCGTAGGCTTTCCCAGGGGGTTCGACACCCAGCACTGCCACGTGATGCCGCTGGCTGGACCCGTGAAATGTGCGAGGGACTCATGGGAAAGGAAGTGAGGGGACATGTGGGAAGGCTTGTCTGCACAGTCCACTGAGCCACTGTGGTGATGATGATGATGATGATGTTGATGATGATCATCTGTACACTGATCCTCCGCCATCCACGTCAGCAGGGAGCCGAGCAGGTCCTGAGAAAGCTCAACCCTCGGGGACACTTACCACCCACTACGTTGGCCAGGTGGAGGTTTCCAAGTCACCCAGGGCCGATCTCCTAAAAGCCACTGATTCGTCATCCAGTAACCACTGGGGCTGAGAGTGGGACCTTTTTCAAATATTTTATTTCCCTCCAAGAAATATGGTAAGGTGACCATAATGTCACTTTTCCCGACAGCTTGGGCTTATTTTGATGACCGTCAAATTAGTGCACACACTTTTGCTTCTACTAAATTATTTGGGCTCGCCCTAGCTGGTTTGGCTCAGTGGATAGAGAGTCAGCCTGCGGACTGAAGGGTCCCAGGTTCGATTCTGGTCAAGGGCACATGCCTAGGTTGTGGGCTTGATCCCCAGTAGGGAACATGCAGGAGGCAGCCAGTCAATGATTCTCTCTCATCATTGGTGTTTCTATCTCTCTTTCCCTCTCCCTCTCTGAAGTCAATAAAGATATATTTTTAAAAATAAATAAATTATTTGGGCTCAAATTGTTGGGCTTTGACTTCTGCTTCTAATTCTAACGCAGTTGTGTTCATATGGCATCCCTCTCTGATAGCGGCCATGCCTCACTGTTGTCTGTGCACCTGCCTTTAAAACCGGGCCTTACCTTTCTAACCTGAGGTTCTGATGCGCTGAAGACTGAGAAAGTAGCTGCTCAGGATGAGGAGGCCGGTGTGCAAAGGCAGCGGCCTTCCTTGGTGTTCAGTGGCAGGAGTGCCTGGTTTCAGCGACGGCTGTTTCCTCTCCCAGGGGTTTCTTTTGCTTCTTCCCTGGTTTCCTGTCATATTCTGAACAGATGACATTGCTTATTACTAAATGTGTACAGCAAAGCAGGTGCAGCCAGGTGTTTATTTGGATTGCTCTCGCTCTGTTTGGAGAAGATCGCCTCATGTTCTGTTGTCTACGGAGCTTGTGTGATGGTGCCCTGTCACAGTATCACACACAGAGCGTTTCGTTGGCTGTTGTGAAGAAGATGGTCTTTGTCGTGTGCTCCACAGTCGGACAGAACTGGTTGGAAATCCCAAATGTAATCATTGAACTCCTGTGTGAATTGGTATCAGTTTTCCCAAGTCTCAAAGCCTCTATTGTTTCATCTACAAAGTGGGGTGATTGTGGCTACTTCACAGATTGTAAAGCCCAGCGCTCTCATGCGTTACCTTATTTCACACAGTGCCTGGAGGACTGGAGAGGAGACAGTTGGCCAATTGGCATTCCTTCCCCATTCAAGCGCCTTTTTCCCTAAAAGGAAAGCTGTGCGTCTTTTCCGCGCTATTGAGAGTGTTGGCACAGCACACGCCTCTCCAGCCCCGGGGTCTCTGGAGAATGACTCTCCACCTCCCGGAGCAGCCCTCCCACAGGCAGCGGGGAGCTCTGGCAGTTAGGAGGTTTCCCTGTGGCAATAGCAGGTGGCCTCTGGCTCAGAAAAGGGCAAAGCCAGCTTCCATCCCTCGTGGCTGCCCCTGACACTGAAGTTTTCTCTTGCTCTGCAGTGAACAGAGTATCTGCCAAGCCCGGGCTTCCGTGATGGTCTACGATGACACCAGTAAGAAATGGGTACCCATCAAACCCGGCCAGCAGGGTTTCAGCCGGATCAACATCTACCACAACACTGCCAGCAGCACCTTCAGAGTCGTCGGAGTGAAGCTGCAGGATCAGCAGGTGAGTGCCGGAGCCCCCGTGACACCCCAGCCTATGCCGCGCACGCGCACCCACACGTGTACGCATAAACACGCACATACACACAGTATAGTGAAAGGTCCCAAAAACAAGGTCAGGTTTGGAGTTGGAAGATCGGGGTTCAGATTCTGACCCCACATTCTCCTATGAGACCTTGAGCAAACTATATTTTCTGAACACCATTTTTCACATCTGTCTCATAGAGACAGTAACCCACACCCCGCATAATTCTGTATGTTAATGTAACATTAGAATAACAGATGTGAAACAGCTTTGAAAAATATATTGTACAAATATATTAGTTTTATTCTATGCCTACATATCCATGAGTAATATGACAATAAAAATTTTTGTTCATCAACCCTCTAAGTCAACATGTCAAACTCAAAGGCTAACACGGGCCAAATAAATAAGGTTTAACCTTATGTGGGCCACAAAAAAAAAACAACAATAAAAAACTTCAATTTTCATAGAAACATAGGTTTATTTCGATAGAAACATGTTAAATACCAAGGGCTGAAATAAATGAGTAATCGTTAACATAAAATAATAGAACATTTTAATAAAAATTAATATTTTTTTAACATTAACTTACTAGGCACTGAATAACTGCACAAGTTAATAAGCATCATGCAAATAAACCTATTTTTCTTGTTCTCTGAAAGCGAAATATTTCCTGTTGCGCACACCAAACAAGTCAATACAAGACTAATGACTTGGCCATCGGCTGCTAAAATACTCGCTGCTAGTATTGGAGAGAAATGGTGCGCCTGCGCGTAAGGGAAATGAATGCAACATGATTATAGTAATCAGTCATTAGTGAACATTATAGTTCGTTATTAATAATTATGTATAACAGGGTATTGTAAAAATTAAGTTATGAAATTTTTATTAAAACGTTTCTTACATACCGTTATATTGGCTGAGCCACAAAAATATTCATTGTGGAAAAAAAAATAAAAAATATTCGTGTGGGCCACATGTGGCCCACGGGCCACGAGTTTGACATGCTTGCCCTAAGTCTTTGGAAGGAACAGCAAGTTGATTTGAAGAATCTGGGATCATTTCTCTCCCTAATAGTACATCCCGGACAAATTGGATAAGGTAGTTTGTGAGTGAACCGGGTAAGCACCTCCACAAATAGAGGGTAAGTCCACCTATGCCAGGAACAGCTGTGCACGCATAACTAAGACGGATCAGTCTAATGAGACAGGGACCAGAATAGAGACGTGGAGAAAGGGCTTGTGTGGCCTGACCACAGGGACTCTGGTTAGTGCTTCAGTGCTCACCCCTCTCTGAGAGACTGACAAGGACACATTTAGCAGTGAAATCACCAGACCTGTGGTTTCAGCATTTGTGAAAAGCTCGACCTAAATACCATCTCTGGCATCCTCTGTTGGTCAGGCCTTGGCTAATTTGAGCAGCAGGTTAGCTGCTATCTGCAAGAATCAGCACGTTAGCAATTAGAAAAGAGAGGACAGCTCTGGCTGGTGTGCCTTAGTGGTTAGAGTGTCAGCCTATACACGGAAAGGTCACAGGTTCGATTCCTGATCAAGGGCACAAACCTGGGTTGCAGGTTCAATCCCCAGCCCAGTCCAGGCACATGTGGGAAACAACCAATCAGTGTCTCTCATTCTCTCCCTCTCATTCTCTCTCTCTCTCTCTCTCTCTCTCTCTCTCTCTCTCTCTCTCTCTCTCTCTCTCTCTCTCTCCCTCCCCTCTCTCTCTCCCTCTTCTCCCCCCCCCCCCGCCTGCCCCCACTCCTTCTTACCTCTCTCTCTAAAAATCAATGGGAAAAATATTATTGGGTGAAGATTTTTTAAAAAAGAAAAGAGAACAGAAACTGAAGACTATTTTTAGTGACTGCCAGTTGACTGTGTTTCTGCTTTGGCCAAAATAACCCTGTTAAGTTTCAGATTCTTGTGGCTGAAAGGGACATCCCCACTTCAGGACTCCTGCCTAAAGGTAGTCCCTCTAACCTGGAGCTCGGTACCTTCAGAGGCATCCCTTTCCCTCATTGACAAGCTTACTGATAGGAAGGTTTCTCTCAAAACCTCCTGGAAGCTGCTTTCCTGTTCTTCCAGGTCATCGGTTCTAGCTCTGCCTCTTAGAGGTACACCGCACCGTACATTGAAGGATATATAGCATCCCGAGTCCCCATTATGGTGGCAGCCAAAACATCTTACCCATTTTCATAACATACCCGTGGGTGGGGGATGACGTGGACATACCACTCTGGTACTCGCCTTTGACATAAGGCCCATTACCCAGTGCAGTTTCCGAATCATAGTGGGTGTCCCTAAGGGATTGCTTTCATTATGCCCAGTTTTCCACTCCCTTCATGCCTCTTGGTTGCCTTCAGGGTACTCTGGGTAGATGGAAGGTGTGCTGGAGGGGGCACGGGCCTGGAGAACAGGATTCCTGGAAACTAATGTGCACCTTGTTCTCAGGAGGCTCCACACCTCGCTGCCTCCTGCAGAGGAAACCACATGATGGGGCTCTTTTGGGAGGAGGGCTTCCCGTGCAGGAGACTCTGGCAGCAGCCCTCAGTGACTCCTGGGTGTATGCAGAGAGGCTGTGGTGACTCTAACCTGGAGACCTAGAGTCTAGCAGAGAAGTTACCAGCACAGCCCTGTGCTTGGAATTGCATGTTCATAAGCATGCAATCTATAATAATGAAAGCATAATATGCTAATTAGACCAGATATCCTTCCGGACAAAGCCACAGCAGCGGGGCCGAGGCAGAGGCCTCTGGCCGCCGAGGTGGGCAGGGGCTGAGACAGAGGCAGCCTCCACGGAAGCAGGGGCCAAGCCCCTTGCACAAATTTCATGCATTGGGCCTGTAGTCCTATATAATAAAAGCCTAATATGCTAAGTGTCCGGTCAACCGGTCGGCCATACAACCAATCAAAGTGCGATATGCTAATGATATGCTAAGGCCGCTCAACCGCTTGCTATGATGTGCACTGACCACCAGGGGGCAGACAGTCAACCAGTCACTATGACATGCACTGACCACCAGGGGGCAGACACCCTGACCAGTAGGTTAGCTTGCTGCTGGAGTCCGGCCCATCGGGACTGAGCGAGATGGGCTGGACATGCCCTGGAGCCCTCCCATGGTCCCTCCCTGGCTGGCCAACCTCCCAAGTTCCTCCCCGGCCCGGATCGTGCACCGGGCCTCTATTAGGAACATAAAAGAGGTTCTTAATAAGCCAAGGCATTGTGAGAGTGGCAGGAAACCTGGTTCACAGTGATTTTATGGACCTCAAGAGTAAAGACTAATTTTCACAGGTCTGTCTCCCAGTCAGTGTAGAGTACAAGGTCGGACATTTTAAGGGATACAGATTCCTGGTATTTTACCAAATAGGGATATCTTACATGTTTAATCTCCTTACTAGTATATCTTATAGAGCACTTTTCATGTCTATTATTTCAGTCTCCCGATAACTCCATGGGGATAATGATACAAGAATTATCACCATATTGTACTAACTATTGTTATTTTTAATGCTTACTTTCCCTTTAACCTTTATATCGTGATTCTGTCTGTCACCTTACTCAAAGTTTTGTATACATTTGTGTTTTTGCTTCAGGTAGAAGAGCATCTTTCAATATATCTTGTAATGAAGATCTTGTGGTAAATTCCCTCAGCTTTTGTTGATATGGGAAAGCCTTTATTTCTTCTTCACACCTAAAGAATAACTCTGCTGGATATAGTACTCTTGGTTGGTGGTTTCTCTCTTTCAGTATCCTATATAATAAAAGGCTAATGTGCAAATTGTCCCCTCAACTGGGAGTTCAACCAGGGGGCAGGGACAGTCGGCCAACCACCCAAGGCCCCTTCCCCTGGCTGGCCCAGCTCAATTGGGCCGATCGGGGAGGGCAGGCCGAACCCAACCCGTGCATGAATTCGTGCACTGGACCTCTAGTTTATAATATATCACTCCACTCTCTTCTGGCCTACAGGATTTCTGCTGAGAAATCTGATAATAATCCAATGGGGTTTCCTTTGTAGGTTGCTGTCATTTTTTTCCTGGCTGCCCTGAGAATTCTTTCTTTACCATTAACTTTTGACAATTTATAATGTGTCTTAGAGAAGGAGTTTTTGTGTTGAGATAATTAGCTATTAGCATCTCATACTCAAATACCCAATTCCTTACGTAGGATTGTGAAGTTCTCATCAATTATTTGTTTGAATAGGCTCTCTGTTCTGTCCTTCTGGGGTACCCATTTTTCTAATGGAGTCAGATCATTCTTATAGAGTTCACTTTTTTAACTCTTGGTTTTCTCTCTTATTCCACCTGAATCATTTCCAGATTTCTGTGCTCATGAATTCTCTCTTCCATCTTGCCTGCTCTATTTCCAGTGCTCCCTAATGCAGTCTTCATCTCATTTATTGAGTTCTTCAGTTTCAGATTTCTGTTTGGGTGTGTTTTTTTGTATAGTTTCAATCTCTTTGGTAAAGTACTCCTTTCATTAATTTCATTCCTGAGTTCATTGAACTGCCTTTCTGAGTTTTCTTGTATCTCGTTGAGTTTCTTCATTACTGCGTCTTGAATTCTCTGTCATTTACATCTCAGTCTTCCATGACTTTGAGATTGGTTTCTGGAGACTTGTCATTTTCTGTACACTTGGGACAGACTCTTCTTGTTCAGATACCATTTGATCTTAATTCAGCAGATTGATAATTAGAGATCTTCCTTTTGTTTCCCAGTAGATGGTGCTGTAGAGCAAGTTTTGTTTTCTCTTACCAGCACTACTTGCACCTCCTGGGTTGCCACAGTGGGTGTTAGTGTTGTGGAAATTGACTCCTGGGTGACCGGAGTGGTGGGTGTCCCCACTGTGTCCAGGTTGCCTCAGTCTCAGGGCACCACCACTGTGGCAGGTATGGGGGAGCCAGATTCTGGAGCAGCAGCACTGACTCCTGTACTAGTGGCCTTGTAGCCCCAGGCACCACTGTGCTGTTAGAGGCATCTCCATAACCACTGCTGCTGCTACTGTGTTCCCCAGCCGTGGGGGGAGAAGAGGGAGAGGAAGCTGGCTCCATGGGCACCACCCTGCTTCTGCCCTGCTTACCTTCCTCTGGGCCATAGTGTGGGGGCCACCCCCTGACTCCTCCACTGCTACTGTGTTAGCTGGGGCCTTGGCAGCTGCTGAACTACACCTGCAGTCACTGTCCCTGCCCTTCCTTCTGTCACGCATCCCCTGCAGGTTCCAGTACGTCCGCCCTCAGCTGTACTGATACGTGGATCTCTCAGGCATGTTTTTGTGCTGAGCAGAGGAATCTTTGTTGGATTATAGATATCTGACATGGAAATTTAAGGGGAGATACAAAGGGTTCTTCTCACTCCGCCATGATGCTGATGTGAGAAGAGTTTTTGGGAAGCATAAATTGATAGAGCCTTCGGAAAAATAGTTAGACATACGGTATCAACTCAGTACACACCTGCATCCACTAAAAGACATGTCTGAAAATACTCATAGTTTTATTAATAACCAACAACTAGAAACTGCACAAATGTCTATGAACAGGACAATGGATTAGTTATTTATGGTATATCAAAGATGAAATATGCCCTGGCCGCTGTGCTCAGTGGTTAGAGCTCCTGAGCACCAAAGGGTCACATGTTTGATTCCCAGTCAGGAAATACATCCAGGTTGTGGATTCTACCACCATTGGTGTGTGTATGTGAGGCAACCTATTGATGTTGCTCTCCCACATCAATGTTTCTCTCTTTCTCTCTCTCTCTTTCTCTCTCTCTCTTCCTCTCTCTCTCTCTCTCTCTCCCCCTCTCCCTCTCTCTCCCTCTCTCTCCCCCCTCTCCTCCCACCCCTTCCTCTCTCTCTAGCATCAATGAAAAACATATCCTTGTGTGAGGATTTTTTTTAAAAAGATGAAATGTTACTAATTGATGTTTCTCTTCCTCTTTCTAAAAGATAAGGTGAAATATTATGTAGCAATAAAGAATTAAATACTTGTAAATGTAATAACATGGGTGAATCTCATAGACATTATGTTGAGTGAAAGAAACAAGAGTTTATACCATAAGAATCCACGTCTATATAGTTCAAGAACAGGTGAAAGTAACTCATGTTGATAATGGTCAGAAACTCGGTCACCTAAGCAGAGGGATGAGGGATGCAGAATAATGGCTCCAGGCCTCCCCAACCCTTCGTGAGCCCCTCAAGCTAAATAATTTTGTTACGTGTCTGAAGGAGAAAGGTTAGAGGTCAGGCGGGCCTGGTGTGGAATCCCCTGCCTGCCTGTAAGCTCCTGAATGTCTGGTTCTAGCTGCTCTTCTCTGTAGCTTTCCCTGGTGGGCCTGGCATTGAGCTGGCAGGCAGTTGATATTTCTTGATTAATAATAAAGATATTAATAATGCTCTACATTGGTTGGCACATTTTAACTTTCCAAGTGATCCTTTTAACTACAGTACCCATTTATTAATGCAGTCCAAGTACTAGACTTTATGCAGAGGGCCCTGGAAGGCCTAAGTAGGAATTTGAAAAGACTCTTGCCCTTCGGATCTCCGAGTCTATAAGTCTAAATAAGCTATGCTCACAATGGGACCTCTGCAGTAATCCATTAGGGCAGTACAGCCAGGATTATCATCCCCCTTTTATAACTGGAGAAACTGAGCCCAGAGAGGTGCAGTGACCACTTCGGGCGACACAGCTGGGAGGACCCAAGGAACCTGACTCCCAGCTCAGGGCTCTCCTCTGGCGGCTGTGACTGCACAGCATTACAGTTAACGGACGTGACCAGGGATCCTGTGGGAAAGCTGCCTGGGCATGCTTTCCCCTTCTTATGACCCCCCTCCAACCTTCCTGTCCTCTGGTAGCCCCTGGGGACACACTATCCTTGCCCCATAGCCGCTCCCTCCAGCTCACTTACCTTTTATTTATTTACATGTATTTGTCGCTCTTTTTCCTCCAGGTTGTGATCAATTATTCAATCGTGAAAGGGCTGAAGTACAATCAGGCGACACCAACCTTCCACCAGTGGCGAGACGCCCGCCAGGTCTATGGCTTGAACTTCGCCAGTAAGGAGGAGGCAACCACGTTCTCCAACGCCATGCTGTTCGCCCTCAACATCATGAATTCCCAGGAAGGAGGTAAGCGGCGCTCTGCCCAGCTGGGCTGCACTGAGTTTCTCTCCTGTTCCCCGAGGCACCCACAGCTCTGGCTCTCGGGCGCCCTCCTTCCCGCCTGTGCTGAGCTGACTTTACGTGGCTCACAGGAACTGCCTGACTGTAGACTTAAAGGGAGGTGAACGGTGTTGACATCTCTCACCGTTGGTGAGATACAGACCTGGGCCGATGTGTTCCTAGAGTATATGTCCAGGCCTGTCACGGTGGTCACCTGAGTCCAGGTTCCAGATCCAAACTCGGCAGAGGTGGGATGGAGCGAGCAGCCAGCTATTCTTTAATTCGGTTACTTATGCCTAACAAACTTTTACTAAACATTGACCAAGTGTAAGAACCTGGTAGGCAGAATACATAAGAAGCGAACAGATGAATCATAAGCTGCCAATTACACTGTCCTGGTGTGGGCACAAGAAGGGAAACAAGTAACTGCCCATCTGGATTGCCAGGGAGGCTTCGACAGGTGAAGGCTTTTGAAGGATGAGGAGGTCACAAGACAGAGGTGGGGGCGGGCCTGGGGCGGAGGGAGCAGTACACACAGGGCACCTGGGCATGAGAGCTCAGCGTGTGCTGGGAAGACCCTGCAGCATTCCCGAGGCCTGGGGTGCAGGTGGGGAAGGGGCTGGAAAGGAAACCAGAAGGTGGGGGGCTCACAGGGAAAAGCCCCACAACCTGGAAGACTTGGGTGCACTTGATACTTCTGCAGACAGTGGGTGGGAGGGGGTTGCTAGCAAAAGCTCCTAAGCAGGCAGTTAAAGCAATGAGCGAAAAATACATGCGGCTTGTATTGGAAATGTGCAGCGTTAGCTTAGAGTGAGGATGGAGGCTTCCCGGGTGTGGGTGACTCAGTGGCCACGGGCATGGTCCCGCACTTGGCTAGAGACCTTACGTTGCTGAAGCCTGGGACCCACGGCCGGGCATGAGCCCTGGTTCTGCTGAGGGGCCGGGACAATGACTTCGTTCTTCTGGGCTTCGCTTCCTCATCTGTAGAGTGGGGGTGCTACGGGTTATTTTTACGTTTCACTGACCAGAATGTAAAACGTTTAGCAGACTGCCTGACACGTATCGACCCCCGTGTTAGTACTGTGGGTATCACTTCTGTCACTGCCGTTGCTGCTGCCAGAATTGGAGTGGGAAGTGGGGAGTTGTGGTACTTAGAACGGCGAGCGAGCAGACATCTATTGTCCTGATACACTGCAGCTGTTCGACCCAGTTTAAGCCCTGGGGCAGTTTATTGTGTGGTTTTCGTTTTGTTTTGTTTTGTAAATAAAGGACATGTTTTGAGTATGCTTCCCATAAGTCGGACACAGAAGAGGTACTTACAGAGGCCTTTCCCGCCTTGAAGTGGCTCCAGTGTGTGGATTTTCTGCTGCGAACTTGGGGTGTGTGGTGGGACAGCTGCTCACCCATGGCGTGTGGAGGGATCAGAGCAGGGCCTGCGACATTGCAGGCACCAAAGGAACACATGCTCGTTAAACGCTGCCACCCGAGAGCCTTGGGCCTCGTGGTAAAGGGCTGAGTTTAAGGTTCTGATCCGAACTGCCTCACCCGCCCCGGGATGTGAGTTCAGCTCTTTTTTAACTGTACATCTGGACACCTTGAGGGTCAAAACACAAGAAAAAGGTTTCCATTGAGTCAGACAACTAATTCAAAGCAGCTGCTTACGTTAAATAAAAATCTAGTTACTTTATTAAGTTCACCCTAGATTAGAATCACAAGGAAATCAGTTAATCCACCTGTTATCGTTTTCACATAAGAAACCTGTGACCTCTTATGAGGAATAACTTGCTGGTGTCAGGCAGGAGCTCAGATTCAGAACCCAGACCTCCTCTGCTGGGGTGAAGGGGGGTCTTTGTTGCGGGGCGGGGGGTCACAGTGTGAGTGGTCTGGTCTCACACTTGCATCCTGAGTAGCGGGTGCCCGTCTGGGTCCATTGGCCGTGGCAGGTCTGCTTCTGCATGCGGTGAGCGGCAGTGGAGGGGGCCCCGCGCCCACTGAGAGCTATGCGGGTCCTTCACCTGAGGCACAGCCTGTGGACAGTGCTTGCACAGGTCTGAGATGGGCAGCTGAGGTTTCACACGTGGCGCCAGGAATCTTTAACAACAGCAGTTTTGCCGGCTTTTGAACTTCATCGTGCTTGCACTCCACGCAATTTCTTCCCCTCCACGCTGTGTCTCCGTGGTCGGTTCCTGTCTCTGCGGGATGGGACTCCCTGGTGAGGCTGTGCCACACTGATCCAGCCTTCCAGCTCTTGGCAGTTCAGCACAGGCAGTCTCTCCCCCACCAGCTGCCACGGAGGCCTGACTGCCAGCTCACTGGCCCTTCCCTCCCGGTGGCGGGCAGTGTGTCGTAGTGAAGAAAGCATTTGTTTGGGGGCAGCGGGAGCTTCTATTCAGCCTCTGCCCTGCCACCTGTGGCCAGGGATAATTAACCTACTTCCTCAGGGGTTGTGAAGATTAAACTTGCAATGTTTATAGAGCACTTGGCGTACAGTGCCTGGCATGAGGGGCTGGGATGAGGACACCATTCCTTCCCATCCACATCCAAAGAAGCAACATGGTGAGGCGGAAGCACACACCTCGGAGCCTGGGTGTCATGGTGCTGAGGACGCCTCCTGCCTCCCGTGTCCCCTCTGCCCTCTGTGCCTCCCTTCTGATACCAGAATGGGTTCCCCAAGGTGAAGGGCTCAGTCTCTCAGACTGCCCCGCCCCCACCCGCCTACTTCAGATGCCAGCAGGGACCCAGGCTGTCAGTCACCTGTGCTTCTGACCACCGTGCTGTAAATCGGAGGTTCCCACACACCGCTCCCCCCACCCCCCGCCCCCCCAGGAGGGTTCAGTTTATTTACTAATGCGTTTCACAGAGCTCAGGAAGACCTTTTACTCACTAGGTCACTGGTTTATTGTAAAGGCTGTAACGGGAACAGCCAGATGGGCGAGACGCGTGGGGCCAGGTGTGGGGGAGGGGCAAGAGCATCGTGCCTCTGGCTGCTCTGCTCCACTCCACACTCGGGGCACATTCTGCTCTCCCACTCACAAGCAGTGTGACTCTGAGAAGTCCCTTCCTGTGTAAAGCAGATAGGGTCGGGCACCGAGGGTTGGAGGATTACCTGACACAATACCTGTGTGGTCACCTCATCACTGTCGTGTCCAGTTGTTTCCTCCGGCTGCCCCACCCTGCCCGCGCTTTTTCCCAGATCCAGTCCTTTGTTCCCAGGTCCAGTAGTCGTCCGTGACACTTTCGTTATCCGAAAACTTCTCGCCTGGTTATAGACGGGCTCCATTGTCCAGGAGAGCAGGGCCAAGCTGATGGGATCCAGCCACCTGCTGGGAGAGAATTTCTAAGAAAATCTTCGTCCTCAAAGCCCCTGCTGGGGGAGTGGGGCGGGGAGAGATGATAGTTGAGGCCCAGGTGGGGCTGAGGAGTGGGGGCCAGGGAAGGAGCCTCAGGTGTCAGGAAACGAAGGCCCATTGAAGGGCAGTAAGTTGGGCAGAGCCAGGGCCTGCACCTCAGGTTTCTCCCTCCCACCCAGGAGGCTCAGGTTTGACACGACCACTCCTTCCTAAGAAAGAATTTTCCCTGGACCTGGGCTGCTGTGAGGCTGTAGGACAGTGGTTCTCAGCCTTGGCTGCACATTAGAAACACCTGGGAATCTTTTTAAAATCCTGATTTCTGGGCCTCATCCTCCGGAAATTCTGTTTCTTTGTTATGGGGTGGGGCCACAACATTAGGAACAAAGAAGCAGAATTTCCGGAGGATGGGGCCCAGAAATCAGGATTTTAAAAAGATTCCCAGGTGATTCTAATGTGCAGCCAAGGTTGAGAACCGCTGCTGTAGGAGGAGAGCTGAGGACAGAAAGCCAGAATTCAGGAGGCGTGAGTTCTCACTAATGAAACCCAGGCAGACCCTCCCCGTGGGTGGAGCCACCTGCCCTTGCAGCTAAGCTTCCACGAGTTCTCGCCTCAGGAGCCAGGATACCCTTCAGCTCACGCTCCCACGGCCTCCCCTGCCTTACTGTCAGCTCAGGACAGAGGGGGGCAACCCCAGACTAAAACAGGGTTTCTGTCTCAGCTCCCACTAAGATTACCCCAAGAAACTCTTCCCAGGTCAGAAGGTCCAACAACCCCTAATCATCACAGTCACAGATACTCACTCCCAGGAGGTGGCGGGAGTGACAAGGGGAGCTGGCCACGCTTCATGTTGTGACAGCCTGAGCGTATCAGGGAGAGGGGAGAGAACGCCCGAGAGCCCCCCACGGCATATAGTAGGCTGTCCGCTCAGACCACCGGGCCTGGGGGGACACGTCCAGTGGGCCCGTGGTACCCAGGGCTGAGGGGGAGGGGTGCTGGGGTATGTGTCCCAGCACCTGGACTTCTGAGGCAGGACTGGCCCCGAGACAGTAGCATGGAGTTCATTCATTCACAGGGTCGAAGTCGGGAGCCACCCGGCTGTTGTAGATAGGCTGTCTGACCTTGCGCAGGACTCTCTCCAAGCCTCAGTTTCCTGTCTGTAAAACGACGTGGTGATGTTTATCTCCAGTGAGGTCATGGTGTACGCAAAGTGCAGGTTGATGGCGGGAGCTCTGAAGACGGGCTGACCAGGGCGGCCTGGGCCTGGAAATTAGGAGTTCAGGCCTCTGGTGTGCAGGCTCAGGGCGCCATGTGGGTTTCCTGCAGAGGCCTGAGCTGGGCCCGCTGTTAAATATGGGAGCCTCTGGGTGCTAAGGCAGGTGTTGGGGGGCGGGCAGGACTGGAGCAGAAGCAGAACAGTCAACGGCACCTTCGTTTCCAGTTTGGGATTGAATGCAGTGAATTTCATTTGAGTGAGTTCTGAGGGTCCTCACCCTGACGCAGCTGGGGTAGTTCCGCTCTATTTTACCGATTGGGCTCTGGGCTCAGAGAAAAGAAAAAGGAGGAACACCTGGTAGCTTAGTGGACATGCACGTGGGTGGGTAAACACGCAGTGAAGCACTTGTTTTCATCAGCCTCGGGATTTACCAGCACAGCCGTCCCTTAGTTGGTTTGCTTGCGGTAACATCGCTGCTGTATTTCAAGAGGTGACTGTCCTGAGACCGGGTGGTAAGTGTCTCCCACCTTTCTGGGTCCCTGTACTAACCCCCGTCCAGGTCAGTGCGAGCGAGGGGAGGCCAGGCAGCCACTTCCGCACCCTGTTCCCCTCAGAGGGTCAGAGTCGGGCTGGATTCTGCTTCTCATAAACGTTTTATGAACTTTTTCTCCTAAAGATGAAGACAGCCTGGGCTGTCTTACTCCCCTCAGACACAGGAAGGAGGCCAGCGCGGGCGCCTGGAAGCCCGAGAAGCTGCCCCTCCCCGGCCTCCGCTCCTGACTGCCCTCTGCTGGCCGCTCCTGAGTGCCAGGAGGACTGGGGCTGGCACAGCCTCTGCTCAGATGCACCGTGGGTCAGGCAGGCCCTCGCTCCGCTCCTGGCCAGGTCTCACAGGGCACTTAGCAGGATGCCCCCTACCACTGTCCCTCTCACCTCCCCCCACACCTCCAGGCCCCACCCCTGCTCTCAGAACCTGCTCCTCCATGAAGCCTTTGCGTCACGTGACAGGACCTGCTGCCCACACCCCATGGGCTTCACCTGTGCTCCTTCATGACCGTTAGCACCACGTGGCGTGTCCTCTTCTTCCGGCATTGAACCCAGTCAGGTCTCGGGTCCTCGGAACCACGCTCTGTCGAGCCTGGGAGCTCTTGCCACATCCACAGGCAGCACGCCTCAGCCCCACGCTCACATGCCTCCCCACAAAGAACGCTGACTGGCAGCCTCTCTCCCCTCTTCAGTCTGTCCTCCTGCTGGCCCTTCCAGGGTGACCTCTCTAACGAACAAGGTCACTCCCTCCAGGCCCTCCGCAGCCGGGCTCTGCTCCCTGCAGTTCTCCGCCCCCCCCCCCCCCCAGTTTTGTGCTGAGCCACGCCCGACGGGGTCATGCTCCCCGCCCTGGGCACCCTGCCCACTGCTGCCCAGCTGCCCTCACTCTGCACACCGTGTCCCACTGGGTTGGACCCGTGGTTTGCTTCCTAGACTGTGAGCCCTCACGGGCAGGCGCCCTGAAGAAGGGCTGTCGCGTCCTAGGTGTGTGGTGAGTGGGGGGCTCGCCATTTGCTCCCGCGTCCGTTTTGTGTGTTCGCAAGCCTGGCGCTTCCTGCCATCACACCATCCGCTGAAGACCAAGGCGACATTCCTGAAGCAGCAGCACTCAAGCCTGAACCTGGGCGCAAGGTGAGGGGTGCTATCTGTGATTGAGGGACATGGCACATAGAATTGTCTCACACAGAAATCGCACCCGTCACCTTGGCCCAACTCGCACCACCCCTGACAACGGAGCGCGCCTGCCTAGCCAGCAGCAGCCCAGTGTCCGCGGACCTGCAGTTGCTGTGGCCCTGAGGTGTGCATCAGACATGAACTCAGACCTCAGTTCAAGTATAGCTTGTGTAGGGTGTGCCCTTGGACAAGTCACTTCTTCCAGAAACTCAATTTCTCCATCTGTGCAATGGGTTAGTCATACCTACCTCACAGGGTTGTTGTGAGGGTGGCAGGAGTTGATGCTTATGAAAGTTCTTTGTCAGCTGTAAATGACTGTAGCTACTTGAAGTTACTCTTTTCTTTTTTTTCTTTTCTTTTTAATATATTTTATTGATTTTTTACAGAGAGGAAGGGAGAGGAATAGAGAATTAGGAACATCAATCAGCTGCCTCCTGCACACTCCCTACTGGGGATGTGCCCGCAACCAAGGTACATGCCCTTGACCAGAATCGAACCTGGGACCCTTGAGTCCGCAGGCTGATGCTCTATCCACTGAGCTAAACCAGTTAGGGCTACTCTTTTCTTTAATATTTGAAAAGTTAACCATACCAGCTCCTGGGGTGATGCCGCAGCCTGTGCTTTGGGACGCGGGGTGAGGAAAGCAGGGCTTGGCCTGAGCCTGCAGGGTTGAGGGTAGGTGGGGAGGACCAGGTGGGCAGGGCTTGGCCTGAGCCTGCAGGGTTGAGGGTAGGTGGGGAGGACCAGGTGGGCAGGGTTTGGCCTGAGCCTGTGGGGTTGAGGGTAGGTGGGGAGGACCAGATGGTAAGGAGGATTCTGGTGGACCAGGCAGATCTCGGTGGTTTGGGGGTCCCAGAAGAGGTTCTGCCTGACCCTTGGGGTCTCCCTCTGCACATTGGTGGGACTTTGTATCCCTCCTGGGGACTCCTACCTTCTGAACACCCTGCTGCTGCCATTCTCTTCCTTTAAAGATGCTGGTGTGTGTGCGCTTCCCTCGCCCCTGGAGAAGTACCTCCTTCCACCAGCCCCGGAATTCTCTCCCTGGCACTAACAGAAGAAGTCTTTGGGCCGTTTAGTTTTCCATAGGTCAGCCTGGGCACCACGCCCAGTCAGGTGGTGAGATAGCAAATGGTTCCCACGAAATGCTGTCTCGCCAGGCCTGCCTAATGAGCCTTGGGTTGGGCACAGTGAGCAGCGATGGGCAACACCGGTGACTGACAAAATGACACAAACTCCGGGAGCAGATGACAGGGTGCCAGTCCCATGCTCCAGGCCATGACAGAGAGCAGCCATGGCACCTTGAGCAGGCCGTTTCACCACCCCGAGCCTTAGTTTCCTCAGCTTTACAATGACCTACTGGCCGCCTACAAAGCTGTGAGGCTGGGATGGTCAAGCAGATGGGGACATGGCTTCTAAGCCGTCAGCACCATAAGGAAGCAGGCTGCTGCTGGGGCACCCAGTCCCGAGACACTTTCCTAGGCTCTCACCCCCTGCATGGCGAGTCGTGATCGGTGTGGGACAAAGTGGTGACGCCCCCAGGGCTAACTCCCACCCTCCTTAAGAAAAGGAGCAGGTCCTGCCCTGGTGAGTATGGCTCAGGTGGTTGGAGCAGCATCCCATGCACTGAAAAGTTGCTGGTTCGATTCCCGGTCAGGTTACATCCCAGCAGCCTGCCTTTCTTCTGTCTGGTGTGTGTGTGGCCTAAAGTGACCCCCAGTCTCCTGAGCCCTGGAAAGTCTTGTGTTGTAAAAACTCATGCAGATTTTATTTCTACTTTATGAATATTTCCCTGTTTTGAACTATTGACCATTCAGTGTAGAAGGATGGTCAGCATCCTCCCTGTTTCTCCACATATTACCCCCAGAGCACACCAAGCTGTTGGGGTGCCCACCCCTGAGTTGGAAGGGCCATTCCAGTTCAGGAGTAGAGTCAGGGAGTGTACGGGCCTCTAGCAGAGCAGGTGTGGCCAGCATCATTAACAGCATGTTCTTGGAGATCTGTTCTGGAAATACCTTCCCTCCACTGGAGTGAAAATTGGGAATAAGTACTTGTTGAAGAAACAAATACATTTCATTAACAAACTCATAGGCTCATGGTATGAGAAAGGGCCCTGTGGTCATATCAGCCAAGACCCTCATCTTAGAGACGGAGAAACTGGCTCGGAACGTCGGACCCCGGCAGAATCGGGTTCAAACCCAGCCAGCCACCTGGTTTCAGTGGCACTTGTCCCTCCTGACCCCTTTTGCACACACTGATGTTGAAATGTCATTACTCCCCTCCTGGGCATCCAGCTCCGCCAGGGTAGGGAGGGCAGGAGAGTCTGTGACCCCATCCAGCACAGCTTCTCTGGTGGGGAGTGATGGAGAATTAACACAGGGATCTGCTGGGCCCCCGTCCCAGGTCTGGTTACAGCTTCACTTTCAGTGTATCCAGCGCCTTCCTCCTGACATGCCCCTGTGCTGCTCCTGGAGGCCAAGTGGCCCGTTGCTGGAAGGCGGGTCTCAAGTTGGATGTCTGACCACTGGGTACCGCCCTGAGGCCTCTCCTTTGGGAGTTTTCACAACAGAACCCGTGGTAGAGGTGGCTCCCCAGAGACAGGGTGCTATTGGGACCGCATGGGGTTGAGGCTGCAGGCCCTGGTCCGGTTCCGGCTGTCACTCACTAATTTTATGCAGGCAAGTTTTTCCTCTCTCTGGGCATCCATGGCCCAGTGGGGTAACGATAGCCACTCCTGGCCCCTTCGTGCGATGTGTTATGAGAACTTAATGGACAGCTTTTACTATGAAATGCTAACCACTCAGAACTACCAAGCAGGGAAAGAGACAGGGATTGTCGAGTTGCACTGTATCCACTCTAGGCTGATCAGCGTGCCATTGATCCACACACCAAGACAAGTGGTGCTTTGGTTAATTTTCAGACATGAAACAGAGTTAGGTTCAGTAACCTGCCCAAGGTCACAGAGTAACTGACAGAGCCAGGACTCCATTTAGCTCTAAGTGGCTTCAGTCCACGTGCTCAGAACAGTGCCTGGAGCCTGGTGAGCAGTCAGTAGGCGCTGGGCGCTGCTGCTGCCAGCATCTGATGCCTCCTCTCCGGCACAGCCCAGGGGGTGGAGGGGCGCGGATTAAGTCCCAGGGAGGGAAAGTGACTCTCTGCTCAGGGTGTAGAGCCCACTAGAATCAATATGCTAATTGTCTGGGGAAGGATTTGGATAGGCAGGGCCCGTGTGAACCCTGAGTTGGGAGAGGAGATGCCAGCCATCAGATGACCTTTCTAGGCAGGGAGTGGGGCTCCCCAAATTCCTTTAAAGTCCAGCTTTGTGCCTCGCAGACTCATTTGTGTTTTGCACAGTTGCATTTTAGTCCAGGGAGGTGAAGAGGGAGCAATCAGTATCCACGAGGGAAGACTGTAAGGGAGATGGTGCCTGGCCCCGGCAGGTCGCTAGTGGGGACACAGGGCTGAAGGAGGCAGCGGGGGCTGGGCCAGGCAAGTCAGAGTGTAGGAGGCCTCAGGTCCCCAAGCAGGATTTCCCAGGGGAGCCAGCGGGAGCCACTGGTTTCCTGGCTGGGGAACAGCATGGAGGAGCTAAGCTTTCTGTTTCACGTGAAAGCAGGGGCTCAAAGGTACGAGCCTGGGGCACAGAGACCAGGTGGGGGCTCCCCAGTAGGAGAGCATGCGTCTGGGATCTAGGCAGGGCAGAGAAGGTGACCTGAAAGACAGTCTGCGGGAGAAACAGCACTTTCTGCTGTCTCTGTCCCCTCTGGGGACAAGCAGAGGGCGGAGAGCAGGAGAAACCACAGGGGACCGGGAAACAGCCGTGGCTTTTGTGAGAAGGTGCTGACTTGGTGTCGGACAGGGAGACTTGGAGGTGATGCCGAGTTTGGGCATGACCCACAGACGTTCTCTGCGTACGTTGTGCCAGGCCCTGAGCTTCCCTCTCAAGGAGCTCATGGTTCAGGGGGGTGAACTGCAGCTCCATGTGGGCAGTGAGTGCAATCCTTAGGACAGAGCAGGGGGCTGGGAGAGGACCCGGGAGTGCTCCATGGGGACAGAAGCCCAGCCTGGACCCGAGTTACTCCTGTGGACCTGTGGGTTTGCCAGTTGGGGAGGTGCAGATGAGCTTCCTGGCAGGTTGAGGGATCCGTTTCCTGCGGGCCTTGGAGCTGGTCATGCTGGTAAAAAAAACAAACGGGGCTCTCGGGAGCAGCTTCGGATAGCAGTGGGTACGATGGTGAGGAAAGGTAGGCCAAGGAACAGCCCGCAGGGACGCCTGGATGGCCCGAGGTGGAAGGGGTAGCCCAGCTGAACAGCGCCCGGGGTTCTTCCTTTGGCCGGTCACCTGTTCCCTTTGGCTCCGGGCCCACCTGTCTCATCCCATCGCCCACAGGGGACCAGAGGAGAGCCGTGGCAGGAGGTTTCCTCTGGCAGACCCTCCCCCGGGCCCCCAGGGCTCCCTGGAATCGGGTAGACAGGAGGGTTCTGATAGGTTAGCTGGGAAGCCGCATTAAAGATTGAAGTGTGAAGCCCATCTGACGGGCGCCCGAGGATCGGTTTCCCACTGCAGGAGCCAGGCAGCTGAGGAAGGAGAGGTAAGTGGCCAGGATGCGAGGAGCGCGCCTCCCGGACTGCGCCCAGGGGCCTGCCCGTAATGGTCAGCAGGGAGTGGACCTTCCACTGCTTCTGCTTCTGCCACTGCGACTGCACCGTGCTTTGCAGAGTGAACTGTAGGTGACGGGCGCCTCCCTCCTTCCTGCTCCCCAAGGCCCCTCCTTCCGCCCCAGCTGTTGGGGGTTGGGGTGGGAGTGGGGGGAGGGTCATGCACTCTGGACCTCGGGGCCAAGTACCTGCCACTGACCCATAGAGGGCTTGGAAGCTGTTTACACGCAGGCTTTGCAGGACGGGCGGGCGGAAACAGCAGCGTGCAGACGGGGCCTCGGGACATGAGGACTCTTGTCCCGGCAGCACCGGTCACTTGAGGCGCAAGTGGCCTTGGGCGAGTCAGTCGCCCTGTCCGAGCCTCAGTTTCCCCATCTATAAATAGGTCTGATGGGCCCTGCCCTGGATAGTTGAGCAGATTAATCAAAAAAATGTTGCGCAGGAGCTTTGTCACACCGTCGAGGTGGCCGGTTTTTATTGCACTTCGTTCCGTTTGCAATTCTTTTAAAGGCTTGTTGTGTGTCCTGAACTGAGCTTATTGGGAAAGGGAGAAACAGTGTCACTAGGAAACTCACTGGCCTGACAGAGCCTGCGAGGGGCCACGCAGGCTGGTGGCCGTGTTCCAGCTGCTCCCCCAGCGTTCAGGATGTGTTCCTCCCTCAGGATCCTCTGTAGGAGGAGAGGTTCCGGGAGGGAGTGCTGCTCGCTGGCCCCGGGGTGGCACAGCGGTCTCCTGCCGCCCTTGTCCCAGGGAAAGGACTTTCCTCTAGCCACCAGATAGGCACTCCTGACTGTGGCCTTGGGCTTTAGTCCCTCTGGATTGAGTCTCTGCCTCTGCACATGCTGACCTCCCAGGCCCACAGGTCATGCAGCCATTGGTCACCCTGGGGTTGCACGGACACTGGTGGCCCAGGGGGCGGGGGGCAGATCTCCCGCGGGGTTGCAGTGGGTGATGCATCAAATGACTGCTGGTCTGAGCTAACCAGGCTGCTTGCTTCCCGCTTCAGCCCACTGGGAGCCTGCACTCAGTAACTCAGTAGTGAGGACCGGGCAGAGAGGGCACTAGAAACACCCCGGGGAACGTAAACAAGCTACGAACCTGGTGTTCAACAAGGGAGGCAGTCGGAGTGTGTCTGCTGCTAAGCTGGGGCAGGGGGGTGCTGCTGGGCACAGCATGCTGGAGTAGACACAGCCCTGGACTGGGTGACATTCGTCCTGGGCACTGGTCCTAGCTCTGCCACCAGTTCCTGTGTGGCCTTGGCAAGGTGACTCTGATTTGTGGGCCCAGATCACAGGCTCCATTCCCGCATGGTCACTTGCTTGCTTGGCAGCAGGAACCTGGAAACGAGAGGGGAAGACATGCTAGGGAATTGGCCTGGGAAGGCTGCCTCCCCCCATGTCAAAGTGTGGCTGTAAGTCAGTCCAAAATGGAGGGGCCTTCTTGATAAAGGAGAGGAGCCAGCCAGAGAGATGGCAGAGGGGGAGGGGAGCCACGGGGCTTGGGCCTCTGCCCAGCCCCGACCAGGTGGCTGTCGTGTGCTGGCCAGAAATCCCATCGAGCCTCACGGAGCAGGTGCTGGATCCTTTGTCTCGGGAGCTCCTGGGAGCTCAAGTTCCGTCCCTTCCGGAGGCCCAGGGGATGCCTTTCCTATGGAGGCTAACTCGAAACCTGGCCGTCCCTCTGTCCCAGAGGAGCGGGGGGGGGGGCGGTGTCCCCGAGCCTCATAAATGTTAATGGGTAGGCAGGACGATGGCCTTTCTCGGGAGGAGGTGTCAGCAGTGCCCCACTGCAGGCTGTGCCTTGCGCCCGCCCGTCTCACGGGGCTGGGGCCCCAAAGGGCTCTTCCCTCTGTGGGGACTCTGCCATGTGTCTTTAGTATAAGGTAGGGCATCCTTCATTTGCCTGATATGGAAATTGGAAAGAGGGAAGTGATCCCACAGTCCAGAGAGAGCCACTGTTACCATTCTGGTACATTTTCTTCCTTGTCCCTCACACTGCAGAGATTTGGAACCCCATGGCCTTGGCTCCACCCTTCTCATTTTATAGGAAACTGAGGCCCAGAGAGGAGCTCCCCATAATTACTTGTGGCAGAACTCTAGCAAAAACGGGGGTTTCTTGGCTCCAAGTTCCCTCTGCAGGGGTCTGTACAAACTGGAACAGTCCGGAAGAGGCCAGCCAGGAATGGGGAGAGACTGGGAACGGGAGTGAGGGGCAGCAGAGGTCTAGAGGGGCACAAGCACTGTTCTCACTGTCCAGCGGCCGCCAAGCCACCAACCCTGGAAAGACTGACCGTCTGTCCTGCAGGGACCGGTGGGGGCGGTGCTAGCGAGGTGGGTCTCAGCGCACTGGGAGAAAGCCACTGGCAGCTAGAACCGCCCTCCCCTCTGTGATCAAGTCCCATCACACCTTCAGCCCTCCGCACAGAGGCCAGACCAGGGCAGCCCGAGAGCCTGGGACAGGCACTTGTTTGCACACACCTCACCCAAGCGCTCCAGGGACGGAGCACCAGGGCAGGGACAGGCGGGAGGCAGCATCAGGCAGACCCACAGCCTCACTTCCAGAGGCCAGCAGGTGCTGAGAGGCTGTGGCTCCTGCCCGCCCCACCCCAGCCCTCCCCTCCCTCTCTCCCACGTGGTTCATGTGCTCAGCCCTTCCTGACCCTCTGAAGGACCCTTGCTCCTCCCCACCTCTCTGCCCACCCTTCCTTCCTCTGGAGGGATGTCCAGCATGTGCTTCAGTGTCCTGGGGTCACACGCGGCAGAGGAGGGCATTGGCTTCAGAGCCTCTGTTCTGGGGCTGGAGCTGGCTTCACTGGTGACTTATGTTACTTTCCAGCTTCTCGTGGAGAAAATGGAGATGAGTGTGAGGATTCCAGGAGGGCTCTCTGTAAACTGCCCAATAAACTTGAGTTCTCTTCCCTTTCCCTTCCCACTGTATGTATGTTCCAGGTGCCTCCACCAGTGGCCTGCAGTGTCTCACCTGCTCTCGAGGCTTATGGGGCGCAGTCCCAGCCCAATCAGTTTCCAGCGGTGAGAAGAGCTGTACAAATGTCACCTGCCCTCGTCTCCACAGTTGGCTGGAGATGCGCAGACCATTCGCCCAGGGCCCAGTCATTTATTTTCAACAAATATTTACTGAGCATTGACCAGAGGCCAAGAACTCTGTTGGGTGCTGGGAACCTGGAGAGCAGAGCAGTCCTATCCCTGGGGCGTAAAAGGCGGACTCTGTGGAGGTGAACAGGCTGTGTCCTGGGACGAGGGCCCAGCGCTGGCAGTCCCTGCACGGCGAGCGTGACCTGGGCCCGCCTGCCCCCTGCCTGCCCCAGCTCTGCAGCGTCTCCTGGAGCCCAGCCTCCTCTGCTCTCCCCGCCCCTCTCCGTTAGACACGGGCAGCTGTCCTGGGCACGATCATCCCTCTCGGTGGGACCCTGTGTCAGATCATGGCAGAGACAGGGATGGAAGCCTTTAGGGAGGCTGCCTGAGCTCATTACCACCTGCTCACCGGTGAGAAACTGAGGGCTACCTCCCCAGGCCTCAGGGCGGTCCAGGTGGGGACGCAGCGCTGACCAACACAGAGGTGACTTCAGACCTCCTGGCCCCACTGCCTCCTTCAGTCTGGCCCACGACAGTGCCTCTGGTCAGCCAGGCTGACTCGCCTGGGTCCCCATCTGTGGCTCATGGCTGGAGTCTGGCCCAGCGACCCCCTCCCCCAGTGTTTTTTTCTCTGCTGTGTCCCCCAACTTCAGTCAGCTCCCAGATTCAGCAAGCTCATGACACCAAGGCCAGCATCATGAGCCCCATGGCCCTGGGCCAGCCCCCTCACCTCTCAGAGCCACCACCACTCTGTGTCCCTCCGGGGCGGGGGGTCCAGCTGGGGAGCGGGCATTTGGTGGGCTTAGGGAAAGGCAGGTCTGTGCGGAAGCGGGCCCAGGAGAAGTGGCTGCAGGGTGGGCTGGAATCTTGTTCGCTGGAGCTCGGACTGAACCCCGTAAAGGTCAGGCTTGTGTTTCCAGAGTGTAGTCTGCACTGTCAGTGTGGAGAGCAGACAGGAGGAGGGAAGGTGGAAAAGGCTCCCGAGGTAGAGCGGCATCACAGGAGGCAGATGCTGAGGCAGCCGCACGGCGATGGATGCTGTTGGGCCTCAGGCACAGCAGCTGTGGGACGCGGTAACTGACGAGATGTGGGTGGAGGAGGAGCTGGGTCCCACCCGCTCCCTCACTGGATCTTGGAGGTGGGACGTGACTAGAGGTGACTCCGTGACACAGGAGCCTGTGGCCTCCTCCCTGGCTTCCGATGCTCCACCAGGAAATCATGCAGGTGACTCAACACTGGGACAGGGAAGTGGCCACCAGCCACCCAGTGCCCCACCCTGAGATTTTCTCACCGGGAAAGCACTTACAAAAGTCTGTACCAGCAATTTCCCAAGGGATCCCAGACAGTTCTGGGGGAGCAATCCTTCTCCCAGTCTCCCCACCCTGCCTCTGCCAGGGGGCAGCCAAGCCAGTGGGGGGAATCAGCCAGGAGACCGTCTGCTGCAGGTACCGTGGGCCACTGGGCCGACCCTTCCACAGGGAGGGACTGTACTAATGTTCAGGACACTCAGAGCTCAAAGCAGACTAACATTTCTTAGTTTAAGCAGAATTCATGGAAGGCCTTATGCACCCCAGTGTTGTCTCTTCCCTCTGTGCTAAGATGCCAGCTGTCTAATTTTAAAGCATGTCTCAAGTACAGGGGCCAGAGCCCCTGGGGACAGCGAGAGCCCCTGTTAGATCCCCCACCTCTGGAGGACAGGCTGGCGGGGGGCTGGGAGGAGCCGAGCTCTACAGGCCGATGAGGGACCCAAGCACAGGATCAGCACAGACCACTGTGCGGACAGCTGGCTGCCATCTGGGGTCCCGACAAAGGGGTGGCCAACACTTCCTGTGACCAGGCCAGTGCAGCAGACGCAGAGACCTTCAAGCAGCTAGTATTGCCCGGGTGTGAGACCTCGGTCCTAGGGCGGGGCCTGGCCAGGGTATGGTGGGCTTCAGGCGCTAGACAGGGTCTCCGGGACAGTGCCTCAGCCTCCAGATTCAGGCCGTGGGCTCAGCAGCAGAGACCAGGGCTAGAACGCCCTCCCTCCTGCCTCGGCCAGGATGTGGGTGGGTCAGAGCTGGGGGACCCCTGTCTGCTGCGTGAACACCAGGCAGAGGCTGTGCACCCCTCAGGCTGCGACCCTGTGGTCCTGCTCTTTGGCAGCGGGCCAGCCGCCCCTTCTCCTGTGTTCCTCCTCCTCAAGCCGGTCTCCATCCGACCCCGCAGTGTGGTTGAGTTTAAGGAAGAAGGTGTGTTTGGCACGTAGTTTGAGTCTGGCTTCACCGCCTGCCGTCTGTGAGGCCCTGAGCGAGTCACTCCCCCGTTCTGGGCTGTTTCCTCGCCTGGTACCAGCGGCGCTGTCGGGTGGGGCTGGGAGTTAGAATCAGGGCTTTGAGGAGAGCTGCTGCCGCTGTCATTGCTGCTCTCATGTTCCTGATGACCAGGGAGGCTCCCGGGACCTGAGCCTGGCCCGCTGGGCGAGGGAAGAGCTTGTCCCTCCGGGTCTTTTTAATTGAGAGTGTTTCCTTTCTTTGTTAAACTTTTCAGATTTTCTGATGTCTGTTAGACTGAACATATATTACATGTTATTTATAGCCAGGAAAATGAATGTTTTAGAGCACAGAATTATGTGTTAAATAAAGGGAAAAAAAGTATTTAGAGACAGGGAAAGAACATAACACTTATTTCCTACTACAGCCAGATCACCACGCCAGGCATCGTTAGTCACCTCTAAAAAAATCCGCAGGCCTCTCCCCTGCTGCCCCCAGAGCAGGCCTGGCAGGCCCACCAGGGAGTTTTCCTCGAGTGCTGGGCGGCCTCTCCTCCTCCCACCCAGCCTGGCCCCCACCCACCATCGGGATCCTCCACACCGGGGCGGGCAAGCCCCAAAGCATGGCTCAGGGAAACCATGCCAGAAGCAGCAGATGCCGGGGCCCCGGACAGCAAAGTCTGAAACTGTCAGATATGGAGGCTAATAGACGGTCTGGAAAGGGCTGTCAAGCAGAGAAAAGCATTCAGACCATGCTGCGCCACACGGTGGAGGAAATGGGACCTTCGAGGCGGGGTGGGTTTGGCACCTCAGAGTAAGAAAGCCCTTGCTCACCTGGGAGGCAGTGGGGTGCACCCGAGGACCTGCCCGGGAGGCACACGTGGTTCCTGTGCTGGGCAGGAGGCTGCCCGCAATCAGAGGGTCCGTTTCAGCTCTGAGATCCTGTCACCCTACCCCACCAGGCCCCTGATCCAGGGCACAGCCCGCTCACCCCTCCTCTGCCTGAAGCCCCTCCAGAGGCCTTCTGCACCGGGTGGGTTTTGTCGCAGGCTGATGCTGTCACCTCCTCCTGGGGAGGAGACAAGCCCCTGCCCCACCTAGTCAGCGAGAAAGAAACCCGCTTGAGCCCCGCCCCCTCGCTGAGACTCCACACTTCCCGTGACACCTGAGCTGGCAAAGGGAAGGGACAATCAGCTCTTTCTTGGGTCGGGGCAGAAGCCTGGCTTTTCGTATAAATGTGACAGCATCAGCCCTGTGTGGACACGGGTCATGCGCAGGCCTCCCCCTGCTCCAGGCCCTGCCTTCAGGATCCAGGGCAAGGGTGTGGCCTGGGAGGCTCCACAGTGGCAGCTCTGCCTCCAACGGCCACTCCCACCCCACAGCTGCAGACCCAGAGGTGCAGGCAGCCCAGGGCTGACCCTGGCTCTGACACTTACCTGCTCTAGGGCTGTTCCTTTGCTCAAAAGTCGGAAGAAATGGGTCTTCGGGGTTTGGTGACGCCAAGTAAGTGCACTGGCGATTTTAGTTACAGTGGCTTCGGGGGACAGTGGCAAGTGAGGAAGTGGAAACGGCAAATGTGGTTAGAGAGGCGTCGGTAGCCAGAAGGGGTGATCTGCACCATGTGAAAACGCCATCCCACTTACTGGCCCCGATGGAAGAGCCACACGAAGGGTGAGAGAGGTGACTGAGAGGCTGAGAGGGGGCCGGCTATTACACAGGTGTCAGAACCCCTGTCGAAAGGTCAAGGACGCCTCATGGGACCGACCAGGAGGACAAAGACAGGTCCAGGTGTGTTTGCCGGGGCCTTTCTTCTCCACTAACCACCGTACTCTGTGCTTCTCTGCCCCACAGGCCCGTCCACCCAGCGGCAGGTGCAGAATGGCCCCTCTCCTGATGAGATGGACATCCAGAGAAGGTAACGTCCCCCCAGCAGGGCCCAGCCTGGTGGCCAGGGCACCGTTCAGCCAGCACAGGACACGCCGCAGCTAGGGCAGGACTCCCAGGACAGGGAGCAGGCCTGAGCAGAGAGGAAGAGGGAGCCAGGCCATTGCTGCTTTGCCAGGGGGGTGAGCCCGTGGTTTCACAGAGAACCCCAGGCCTCCCGTTGCAGCCCTCATGAACCAGGCAGTGCCCTGCGTGCTGTGCTCTTAGCTAACATGCCTTCCAGGTGTATGAGGAGGTAGTTGGCATGACGGGAAGGGATTGGGTCACGTGGCCAAGGCTGCCCGGATCTGTCTGACTGAGGCCCTGGCCTTGGCACCGTCCTGTGCCGTCTCCCTTCACTCTGTGTGAAGGCCTCGTGAGACCTGGCCCTACCCCCCTCCACTGGAGGCCTTGGGCAGGCCACGGCCTCTCTGGAGGACCTCAGCCCCCTGCCCACTCAGCTCCCGGGAAGGTTAAAGTGGCGGAGGCCATGAGAGCACTGTGTGAGCCAGGGCCAGGGCCGCGGCGATGTCCTTGTGCGGCCAGCCTGTGGAGGAGGCAGCTCCTGGGGGGCACGGGCCCTAGGATGGCACCCCATCCTCTCCGAGCTGCTCCTACAGTGTGCGAACTGGGAGGAAGGGCAGTGCTGTTGTCCTGACGTTACAGCAGAGGTCCTGGTGGCCCAGGAGGGCGTGGCCTCCCAGGTCACGTTGCCAGGAAAGGCAGGGCCAGGGCTTGAACCTAGGCGGCCAGGACCCCAAGGGCTGAGGCTAGATGCCAGTAGGGCCCCAGGCTAGGGTGGGAGGGATGTCCCAGCCTCGCCCGGCCTGAGGCCCTCGGGCGTTCTCTCCAGCCTCTTCCTCCCCTGGAGAGAAGGCTCTCTGAGCGCTGCTCTGACGTGTACTTAGGGCCCTCGGCAGTTCCCAGGCCTTCGTTTCCCATTTGAATATGACAGGGATTTTTTTACTTTTGTTTTTATTTTTGTTTTCATTATTTTTTGTGTCTACTTTTATTTTATTTTTAAGTTAAAGTTTACATCAGCATTTTGTATTAGTTTCATGCACCGCATAGTGGTTAGGCAATCGTGTAATTACAAAGTGGTCCCCTCCGTACTCCCAGAACCCACCTGGCAGCATACAGTTCCTACAGTGTGACTGCCTGTGCTCCCCGTGCTGTGCTCTACATCCCATGACTGTTCTTAACTACCGAGCTGCACTTCTCGGTCCCTTCACCTTTCTCACACAGTCCCCAGCCCGCTCCCCTCTGCCATCATCATCAGTCCTCTGTGTCTGTAAGTCTGTTTTAATTTGTTTGTTCGTGTATGTTTTCGTTAGATTCCGCATATAAGTGAAATCATGGTATTTGACGTATTCACTGAGCACAATACCCTCCAGGCCCTTTGTGCTGTGAGGATGACAGTGTTAGTTTAGTCCTGGCTCTGCTCAGGTCAAGCAATGAGTGGGGGAGGGAACACTCCCTGGACAGACTCCTTTATACTAACTCCCATGTTGACTGACTCCTCAGGCCTGTCTTCTGGCCTCTCAGGAAAACGGCAACTGTTCACAAGGGCTCTGCCCCATTGTACCCCCCACTGCCCTCAGGGCAATGGGAGGGCTTGCCCAAAGGAGGCAGGAGTTAGAGGCAGAACCAAGTACCTGGTCCAGCCCAGCTCAGCCGCCCGCCAGGTCCCAGAGGGCATGAGTGAGCCCTACCACACGGCGAGAGAATGCACCAGGGGCATGTGGGCCTGAACAGACCCTCCCTTGGCTCTCTCAGAACTGGTTGAACATCACCACGCTGCATTGTCTTAACCCACCACCCCAGTCCAAGGCGTGGGAGGCCACTGGCTGCAGGCTGTCAGTGTTGCCAGCAGTCAACTGGCCGCAGGCCGGAGCGCCCCTGGAAGTCAGTCTGTGAACGGCAGGAGGCAAACTACAGAGCAGGGGCCCTGCTGGTGCCTGCCAGGGTGGCTGCCGGAGCCTGCACCGGGAGCTGTGATAAGCACAACCCGATTTGTAAATACTTCCGAACACCTCATTTTACGGAGGGCTTCTAAGTATGAATTCTGCTGGGCAGGGTGGAGTGTGGGGTGATGTCTCGGCAGTTTAGGAGAGGCTAATGGAGTTGTTGCTGGGAGTTGTTCAGACACCTTTAATGCCAAAGGGTCTTTTCCGTTATTTTTTAGGTACCAGGTATAACTCTTAAAAGAACTCCCTAGGACAGGTGATAGGATGCTTATTTTATGGAGAAGAATCGGAGGCCCACAAAGCCAGGAACCCCAGAATGGGAACCAGAAAGCTCCCCCCCTCTGAATGGTCTTTGCAGTAAACTGTGACCTTCCTCTAAGATGCGAGCAGCTGCACTCACTGAGTGTGGGACCCGGTGCCAGGCACCAGAGAAAGGCCAGCTCGCCGTGCACAGGGCGCAGACTCACGGCCCACAGCCCCCCTGCCATGCAGACACGGCTGGCCTCCAGTTCCGCCTCCCCTGAGCCAGGTGGGCATCGAAGCGCCCTGCCCCCTGCTGCACAGCAGGCATTTAGGGTGGGCGCACACCGGTGAGGCTGCTGCCGTCCCTGGTCCACATGACTCCTGAGCCCCCTCCTGCTCCAGCGCCACCGTCCCAGATTCTGCGGACGTGTTTGTGGGTCAGTGTCCTCACTCGACCGGCCTGTGAGAGTGCGCGAAGCTGCTCTGCCGTCAGGAGCTCAGTGTGGGTTCCCCGCGAGGCTCTCAGCCTACACTGCCCGCACCACATGGCCCTGCCGTGGAGGCCAGGCCTGCGGCTACATCTGTGCCGAAAAGAATGAGCACGTGCCCGCGGAGTGTCCGCTTCCGACAACCCCCAGCGCCTGGGAATTGTTCCGGGACTTAGCCAGGTGCCGTGGGGACAGGACATTTGAGGTCGGGTCGGCTGAGACCACAGGCACAGAAGCCAGGGGGCCCATCCAGCCTAGAGGAAAGCGTGGTCACTCGTCCACATGGCGCCCGAGCCTTCGTGGGGGGCTCCCTGTTTAGGGGTGCCTGAGACTCAGGAGGCTGCCGGCACCCACCTGTTTGGAGATCTTGGACCAGTCACGTGCCCCACCTCTGTTAAGTGGGGGAGGCAAGCCCAGTGGCCATCAGAGCCAGGGAGGGGATGAGGGAAGCTCACTGTGAGGCCCCCCCCCCCCCCAGCCCAGGGCGCACAGTGGGTCCTCGGGAAGAGCCGGCAAAACCCAGCCTTGCAGCCTGTGCTCCGTGGACCCCCTGGTTCTTTTGCTTTTCAGACAAGTGATGGAGCAGCAGCGCCAGGAGTCCCTAGAGAGAAGAACCTCAGCCACAGGTGAGAGCCCACAGGCCTGCTCCCCATACTGCTCGGTGGCAGCCCCCCACCGCAGTGGTGCCGTGCGCATCGGGCCTCTGTGAAGAGCTACATAGGTCTCAGTGTGCCAGTCACCTTCGATGACAGTAGGGGACCCAGAGAACAGGAGAGAGTGGGCGGTTAGCTCAGCTTTGTGGCTCCTCCCACCAGCCTCTGGTGCTGGATGTTGAGGGGAGATAGGGACAGGGGACTGACCAGCACTCAGCATTGCTCCCTGTCATGAGGCCAAGGGTCACTCACAGTCGCATCTCAGGGATCAGCGTCTGCTGGTGCCTAGGGTGGTGCAAGGCACAGAGAAGGGACACAGAAGAAAAGGGTACAATCTGAGCCACCAAAGACCTTCCTCCCCCTGGAGACACACCACTAGAGCAGGACAAAGGTAGCTGAGCTCAAGGGGCGTTAGACACTGTGGGTCCAGCCAGGGGACTGGCATAGGAAGTGACCGGAGCAGGGCCAAGCTCACCCCAAGGGCATGGAAGAGGCAGCCTGAGCTGTCCCTGCTCCCTCAGAGCAGCAGGCTGACCTGTCCCTCCTCCCTCCCAGGAAGCACAGTGAGGGCTAGGGACTAACTGAGCCCCTCTGTTGTGTTTCAGGACCCACCCTCCCACCGGGGCACCCCTCATCTGCAGTCAGCGCCCCCCTCTCGTGTAGTGGGCCTCCACCCCCGCCCCCACCCCCTGTCCCACCGCCACCCACAGGGGCCACTCCCCCTCCCCCACCCCCACTGCCAGCCGGAGGAGCCCAGGGCGCCAGCCACGACGAGAGCTCCGTGTCAGGACTGGCTGCTGCCCTGGCGGGGGCCAAGCTGAGGAGGGTCCAGCGGGTAAGCGTCCCTGAGAACAGGCCGGATGGGCTGGGGGCAAGTTTCTAACTGCCGAATGGACGGAGCCTTCCCCTGTCCCCAACACCCCAAGCGAAGCCCCGCCCTCCCCAATCTGGACACCACCTCTGCTGGCTGTTTTCAGTGAGAACCGGATGGGACGGCACTGGGTAGACCAGGAGCCGCTTGCAGCTTTGTAACCTGCTGTGATCCTCACGGTGACCTTCACAGCAGGGCGGGAAGTGGTTCCCTCATCAGGCGCAGTTAGGACTTGGGCCCCGAGTCCATCTCTCCGTCAGTGCTTCTCATGGAAACCAGCCCCCGCAGGCCCAGCCTTACTTCCTGAGCCCTTCCGCCCACTGCTGGAAGGCAGAGCTCCTGGGCCGAGGCCGGGCTCGGACACCTCTGATGGGAGGCCGGCTTCCATGCCAAGGATTGTCTCCCCTCGGGTCACGCTGGGCGCCAGGCGAGCATCCACTGACCGGCCAGGCCTGGTCCCTCTCTGTTTGTCACCTGTGGGTGGGGGGGATGGGACTCGACCCCTTGGGCCTCTTCTGCGCTGCCATCGTGGGAATCACACGTCCCCATGATCCCCTCGAGTGATGTCCACCACGACAGCAGACTAAATGCTGGTCCTTCCCCACAGCCCGAAGATGCGTCCGGAGGCTCCAGTCCCAGCGGGACCTCCAAGTCTGACGCCAATCGGGCGAGCAGTGGGGGCGGAGGAGGAGGCCTCATGGAAGAGATGAACAAGCTGCTGGCCAAGAGGTAGGGGTTAGGGGGTTTTAGGGCGTTCGGGTTATTTGCCCACCTCAGCAGCCCCAGCACCGAAGGAGAGCTCTTGCCTGAGCCCAGGACGCCTTGTCACCTGGGCTCAGCCAGGCGGACAACCCTTAAGTTCCCTCTTCTCCTGGAGTCAGTCTGAGACATCAGGCCGAAAGGCGTCCGTGAACTTTAAAGCCCTCCCCACTTCAGTGTAACAAGGATTGAAGCATCTTTCAAGTACAGCCGTCCTGAGAAGGGAGAAACTGGGCAATAGTTTCAGAGGGAAATGAGGAGTATTCCCTGCACTTAGGATCCCAACACAAACAGGTGTGGGCCAGGGCTGGGCGGTGTGGCTGCCCCACATGAGGGCCATGATGGAGGACACAGGAAAGGGGACTGTGAGGGGGCCAGAGCCTGGAGGACGTCACCCTGAGCTGGAAGAGCAGTTTCATCCATGTCCTGTTGGACCCTGCGGCCTGCCAGCCACGTCTCTGCCCACACCCACAGGTGTGGCTCCAGCTTGCCCAAGGCCACTGGCCTGTCACTGGCTCTTAGTTTCCCCAGATGAAACCTGAGCAGGTGGAGAGATCACACAGTTCCTCGGAAGGGTTGCAAAACTTGGTTTTACTCGTTAATGTGGCGTGGCGGCAGGAATGCCCTGACAGGTCCCGGTGTCATGGCTCACCTGTCGGATGCTCCCTGTGGTCCAAGGAAAGCCAGGGCTGGGACCTTGGTCCAGCCGGGACCCCTCCTGCCTGCTTTCACCCTCCGGGCTCTTCCCTCTGCCCTCCAAGTCAGCTGAGTGTGAGCTCTGTGTGCCCGGGGTCTTCGTGTCCTGTTTCACCTCCTTAAATGTGCTCGGCTCTGTGAGGGTGAGGTGGGAGCAGAGGCCCCAGCGTGCAGGTAGCGGGTCCGTCACTTCTCAGCTGGGGCAGAGCCAGCATTTCCTGCCCAAGGCCTCCCGAGCCTGCAGCGGGGCCTGAGCATATAGAGGTAACCAAGAGGGGACAGACAGTGACCAGGTGCAGGGTGACCGCGGCTGCACCATGGTGGGAACAGCTCCCTGTGGGAGAGAGCCGGGAGGGCTTCACAGAGTGCTCGGCCTTGAAGGACAAGAACACTTCTGGGGCTGAGGTGGGAGAGAACAGCAATCCAGGCAAAACCAGAGCAGAGGTGGAGGGCTCAGAGCCTGGGAAGGCTGAGCCGCACCCTGAGCCCTGGGAGTGGAGAACCAGCCTCCTCGCAGGTGTGTTGGATTCTGTCTCAGAGGTGAGCGGGGCCTCCTGGAAAAACAGGAGGTGTTTTTCAAAAAGAAAACATTCACTCTTCCCCCGAGTCCAAAACCAACACGTTCACAATGACAGCTTGGCCTAGATGGCCCCTAGACCAAAGGGAGAGGAAGTTCCTGAGAACCGGAAAAGGCACGTTGCCAAGAGCGGGTGGGACGCCAGATGCTGGTGGGCCCTACCGAGAACAAACACATTTGCACAACTCGGCGGGATTACTTGGGTTGCTCTTTGACATCCAAAAGGTGGGTGTGGTGGAGCCCACTTCTTCATGCAGGTAATGGCCGACTGCCACCTCCCTCTGCGCCCTCCCTGCAGCCATCGGGCTGGGGTGGCCTGGCCTGCTTAGGGCAGGAGCAGAGTGACAGCGGGTGGGCCAGGGAGCACACCACCGGCGTCCAGGAAGCGATGATGGTGGCTTGCACCAGTTGTCCAAAGTAGACGGGGAAAGGCAGATTCGAAATAAAGCAGGGGGAGAAGCGACCTGCCTGGCTGTGTGGGGAGGAAGATGGTGTCTGAGGAGTGATAGGTGGGTGGACCTGCTTCCTGAGACAAGACGGCCGAAGAAGGAGCCGACTGTGTGGGCTCCGCCACCCAACTGGTGACAGCCACCCTGCAGCCCCTCACCACTCGCGGGGCTGGCTTCCTTTTTTCTCATTTTTAAAATATATTTTTTTATTGATTTCAGAGAGGAAGGGAGTGGGAGAGAGAGAGAGAAACATCAATGATGAGAGAGAATCATTGCTCGGCTGCTTCCTGCATGCCCCCTACTGGGGATTAAGCCCACAACCCGGCCATGTGCCCCAACCGGGAATTGAACCATGACTGCCACACTGGCCAGGCGTCAGCTTCCTTCTTGATGGGTTGCTCACCCCCCAGATCTAAGAGTTGTGTGCACTGGCAGCTTCACGGAGCTGAAGGTCCCAACGGCAGGTCTTGGGGAATATTGAAGGTCTACGTGTGTAGATTTGGGAGTCGGGCGTTATTTCAAAGCTGCCTTTTCCCATCTCACATATTGGCGGCCACTCAGGTGAGATTTTAAAGTTGGTGGGAAACGCATGAGTTGTCTAGAGGCATCGGCTCGGCTATTCAGAGTCTTTCCTTTCCTGAGCATGTCCGTTCTCAGTGGTGGTCCATGCTGGGTAGAACAGAAAGGTCCCTCCTTCCTCCCGCAAGGTGGTCTGCTCACCAGGCAGTGGCCCGCAGACGAAATGCTCCCATGGCCCTGGCCAGCAGGTCGCAGCCTAGACGGGCTCCTCTCCCGTCCAATGTGGCCAGGCCAGTTTCGTGTCCAGGGTCATGGGACCAGCACAGAAGACCTGGACACTTCGCCACAGACCAGAAGGGGCTTCAGGACGGGTCCGATCCCCCCACGGGATCCTCTGAGGACCAAGTGTGTCCACATAGAGGCGTCTGGGAGGGTGCGGAACCTCCCAGAGCTGATTTGCTGCTTCTTGCTCTGTGTTAGGAGAAAAGCAGCCTCCCAGACAGACAAGCCGGCTGATAAAAAGGAAGACGAAAGCCAAACGGTGAGCAAGCGCCCCTCACACCCCCACCTGCGTGAATACCGGGAAGGCTCTCTGGCCCCACGCCAGGCCTTGGGGCATGCGGTGCACTTGGTGCCCGTGATAGGTACGTCCCCAGGTGATCTGCAGGAGCGATGGGCAGGGGGACAGGAGGACGACGGGAGGGCCTGCAGAGCACTCACTGTCATCCCCACGGCACGGCACCAGCCAGTTAGGCTCCAACAACCAGTCCCACCCACCGCCCTGTGGCACGCCGGCCCAGCAGCCGCACCAGCTGTGCGACTGGCAGAGCAGCTCTGCCGTGGGCCAGGTCGTGCACATGCTGGGGCCCCAGAGATGGGCAGGATATGGCCTCTGCCCTCAAGGGGACACAGGAAACACTGAGGGTAGAGAGAGAAGGAGCACCAGGGGCCCTGGGAGCTGAAGGAGGAGCCCCGAAAGCCCCCCTGGGGTGCCCACGAGAAGCGCCGTTTGCCCTGAGCTTCAAGGCCGAGACCAGAGCAGAAAGCGTGGCGCAGGGAGCAGCGTCAGCAAAAGCACAGATAGGCCGAGGGCCCGGGAGGCGGCTCTGCCCACCCACCCATCACGCTGCCTCCACCTCCCACCCGGTGACTCCAGAGACTTTCCACAGAGGGGGTGAGGGACAGACCTAGCGTTTAGAACACATTTTGGCAGCAAAGTTCATGAACTTGTGGGCTGATGGGGACAGAGATACCTTAGGATAGATTCTCAGAACCACCTCTCTGGTGAAGGACAAGTGAAGCATCCCACAGCCTCCCCCCGCCTGGTCCCTGGGAAGTGGGCTGTGGGTGGCCACAGCACCCTCTAGGGTCACCCAGACATCTGGTCCTCAATCAGCCATCAGAGGCGGAGCCAGGCCCAAAGAGCAGCGGTCCCTTAGGTGGGTCCCACCTGGCCACTCCCCTCACAGTGGACAGCAAGGCAGAAGCTGCTCCTGGGCCGGGAGTGGCGGGCACACCCAGGAGCTCAGGCCGCTGTTGTGCGGAGGATCGGGCCCTTGGCGGCTGCATCAGGTTGGTGCAGCCGTAGAGTCTGCCCCACAAGGCAGGAGCCTGTGTCTCCCTGCAGCCCTCTCCTTCCCTGATTCCATGGGCCAGACCACCTCCCACCCGGACTTGGGGTTTCATTTGTTAATAACACTCATTATTTTGCCAATTATAAAAGTAACGTATGTTCCTTAAGAAAAAACCTAGGGTTTTCTAGATGGCCCTGGTCACAGCCCAACAGCCTTCATAAGCAGACTGACGGCCAAGCTTTTCCCCCATTTTAGGAAGAGCCCAGCACCTCTCCTTCTCCGGGTACCCGAGCAGCCAGCCAGCCACCCAACTCCTCAGGTAAGAGGTGCCCTGCCCAGCTTGCGCGGGCCAGGGTCTCAGAGCAGGAGGCACTCCCACAGGACCATGATCCGCTCCCTCCGCCTCACTTTACGAATGAGCAGAGTTGGCCAGAGGGGCTGCACTAGGGGTCTCCCTGCCACCTCCCCCAAAGCCACCACTCTGGTGAGCCCCAGGCTCCCTCGGTGACCAGGGCAAGGAGTGCTAGCGTCCAAGGGATGGCTGCCTGTGGGCATCGGAGCTGCCAGGCCACAGAACCCACCCACCCAGCCCTGTCTTCCCCACACGAGATGAGTGCTGCCTGCCAGCGCCTGTCCAGGACAGGAGCTCCGACCTGCCCGCCGCGTGGCCTGGCGCTGTTGGCGCGTCTGCCTCCCTGGCGGGTCTGCTCCATGGGATGCGGCATGGGCTCTCGGTGAACGAGTGTAAATACCTCCCTTCAGGCCATGGTGCTGGTGTTGGCCCAGTGTAAGAGGTCGAAGCTCAGTGTAGTTACATGGTTCGCTCAGGGCCACACGCCTGCAGCATGGATGTGTCCCAGCGCCTGTGCCAGCAGGTCCCAGGGGTGGCTTTCAGGAGACCTGCTTTGGCCTGCGGTCGGCCTCTCTGCTGCCTGGGAATTCTCCCTTCTGCCTCTCTGCTCATCCACAAAGTCAGTGAATTCAGTTCAGTTTGACAAATCTCTTCACAAAAGAGAAATATAATTTAATGCCACTTAATTTTAAAAAGAGGAAAGAAAAACAAACCAGCCCTCACGCCCAGGATAGGGAAGGGCCAGCCGTCCTGTGGGAGCACCAACGAGTCAGAGGACAGCAGGTGCTCGTGGGGTCCCGGGGGCCTGGCCCCCAAAAGCAAACGTGGGCCTCCGCTGGCTGGCTGAGCACCTGAGCCCGCTCACCCCTGCTGGTGCTGCTCCAACAGCAGAGGACGTAGCTGAGAGCTCCCTGGTGCTTGATTCGCATTTCAAGGAGGGTGGGCTTTCATGGTGAGGCTCGAAACCAGACCACACGTCAGGGCCAGCCAGGTCCTGAGTGGGGGAGACACGGCTGACAGCAGGGTCATCCACAGCCTGCAAGAGCTGCCTGGGCCCAAGGGGGACTGAGGACAAGCCGGACATCAGCTCCCCCAAAGCAGAGCTTCCTGAAGGGCATGGGGGGCGCGGCGGGGGGCCTCCTGTCAGGGATGTTGGGCCTGGGAGTCATCTCAGCCCTAAGGCTCCTCGGTCTGACGTGACTTGACAGAGGCCGGCCGGAAGCCCTGGGAGCGGAGCAACTCCGTGGAGAAGCCCGTGTCCTCGCTGCTGTCCAGGTGAGCGGCCCGCGGAGGCTCGAGCTGCGCCATCGGTGGGGCCGAGGCCGCCACGGTGCCCATTCACGTGTCTGTTTCATTCCCCTGCCCTAGAACCCCGTCCATGGCCAAGAGCCCCGAAGCTAAGAGCCCCCTTCAGTCACAGCCTCACTCTAGGTACCGAACGCCCCTCTCTGGGCCTCCATTGTCCCCTGCCCGTGACTAACACAGACCCTGTCCCTGTCCTGTCGTCTAACGGTGCTCTGGCTCAGGGAGGGAGAGACGGGCGGGAGGGCGACCTGCCCAAAGGGGCGTGAGCGGAGCTGAATGGAGTCCCAGCTCTGGGCTCTGTGTCCTTGGGCATGCCTCACCCCCACCCCGTGAAGAGTCTGTCGGCCTCTGCCTCATGGGCGGCCATGTGGACAGCTGTGTGGACAGAAGCTGGACACAGGAAGTGCCCACTAGCCACAGCGGCGCCCCACAGCTCAGCCATGAGGGGCCTGGCCCGGCGCCCCGCCTCCTCGCCTTCCTCCGCGTACAGCACAGGTTCCCGGGCGGATGCTGACCATGTTTCCCAAACCAAGAGCTGGTGTGGTAACAGGATAGGATATTTGAACCTGAGGACGCCCCGAAAGTCAGAGACTAGCAGCCCCATAGTAACCAGAGGCCAAGTTGACCTGAACCGCAGGCTCCAGAACCCGGGTAAGAAATGTCTCCGCTGCCCACCAAGATTGAGGGAAGCCCCTCGAATGGCAGAGCAGGTGGCGTCTGAGGCTGGTCTTGCAGAGCGAAACGGGGGATAAGCAGAGCGCACTGGCCTGGCCCTGGCCGGAGGGGCGATGACACACTCGGTGAGCAGGGAGAGGACTCAGGGACAGCCAGGGCTTGTCCAGGGCCAGTGTCTGCCAGGTCTGGGCGGGGTCCTGCTCCTCCTGCCTGCAGAGACCTCATCTCTGCTGGGAAGGCCTGTGGTTGGACGGCTGTGGGTTCCGACAGGTGCTCAGGAGGCTCGGAGGGTCACATGGGAGACAGCACTGGGGACAGGCGCTGTAGCGAGTGGGCTGGGCAGGCCTCCCTCAGAGTGGCATCTGGGTGGCTCTGAGATTGGGGGACCGCCTTCCCATCGGAGGCATGGAACCGCTGAGGCCCTGTGGCTACAAAGTGGGATGGGGAGAGGAAGGGCAGTGAGTAGGAAGGCGTCTGGTGATTGGACTCTGTGCGCAGGCCCAGTTACGTGCTCTCGACACAGGCGCTGGGCTGTCGGCTGTTGGGGGCGCTCACTCGGCTGTGCAGGGAGGTGCATGGAGGGAGGGGCAGGAACAGAGCAGGCCCAGGAGGAGGCAGGGTGTCCGGGGCACAGTGGTCACTTCCTGCTGCTGGAGGAAGGGCGGGCTGCCCATGCCCCCTCAGAAGGGGACTCCAGCCCTGAGACAGATCCGTTCTCTAGCGCGGTCCGTCCCTCCAGCAGGGGGGACGGACCCTGTGCTCACGGGGTGTGACAGTGCCACCATCTGGGGCTGTTGGGTGTACATGCCTCGTATGGAGAGAACCGGGGCACAGAGGTGAGGCAGTTGGCCCAGGTGACCCGGAAGGTTTCCATGGCAACAGGGACTTGAACCTACAGGATGGGTGTGATGGCCTGGGGGTCTCCAGGCTGTACCCACAATTACTTACAAACTCATTTGGGACCACGTTTGGCCTCTCTCTTGAGTTCATCTGGGAGGGGTGAGAGCATTTAATTTATTCGTTTTAATTCAGTTCTGTGCTTGGACCACTGACGTTCTGCATGGCAGGCAGCGGGATTTCCCAGCTGTGCTGAGTTATAATTGACGTCCCCCTTGTGCAGGCGCAAGGCGTACAGCGTGGTATCTGCCATGCGCGTACGTTGTGCAGTGATTACAGGGAAGTCAGTTAGCCTCGCCTAGTTCCCGGTGTGTGTGGAGAGAATCTCAGGATCTGCTTCCTTAGCTACTTTCAAGCACACAACGCAGTGTTGTCACCCAGTCACCATCCCCAGAGCGGATCCATCGGTAACCGGAAGTGCGCGCCCTGGACCACCTCCACCTGTCCCCCCAGCCCCTGACAACCACCAACATATTCTTTGTTTTGATAAATCTGTTGTTTTTTCTTAGATTCCATATACAAGTGAGATTATACCGTGTCTGTCTTTCTCTGCCTGGCTTATTCCACGCAGCCTCATGCCCTCTAGTCCATCCATGTTGCCACACATCGTGGCTTCCTTCTGTCTCACAGCTGAATAATCCCACATGTGTGTGTTCCACGTCTTCTTACCCACCTGCCTGTCCATGGACACTTGGCGGCTTCCGTGTCCTGACTGCTGTGGCTAATGCTGCAGCAAACACAGGGGGGCAGGTACCTCGTCAAGATTCCCTCCTCCAGCGATTGCATCTCCTTCGCACAAAACCCAGACGTGGGGTTGCTGGCTGTTTCTCGTCTGAGGAGCCTCCGTGCTGTTTCCCAGCGAGGCTGCGACAGCACCGTAGCGCTCACGCCTCCTCTCTGTGGCCGTGGACAACAGCGGACCTCGATTTCACCACACGCTCTCATCCGTCCGATCACGGTCACGGTGTGTCCACCAGCCGTCACGTCCACGGACCCTGCAGCAGTTCGGCCACGTCCTTGCCCAGAACACGCAGGCCCCGCCCGCCTCTCCGTCCATGTGGGGAGAGCAATGGGTGTTTTGCTAAGATTTTCCAGGAAAGATTCATGTGGAAGAGACGTTGCCGTTCAAACCAGCTTTAGTTCCGAAACTTCTCAAAGAGGCAGCCCAGGAAACGGAAACCTTGGCCTCCGAAGAGCAAAGCCCTGTCCAGGGGCGTTGCCTGCAGTCAGGCCTTTAAGCGGGTGTTTGCTGCACAGGCTTTGCGATTCGCATTGTCCTCAGTGCCGCCATTGCTGGTTTCCCGTTTGCCAGGAACAGAGCCCGCGCCGAGGACTAGCTTGTCAGTGTTTTCTTCCCCGGGGAGGCCGCGTGGGCACTGCCGCCCGCGAGAGCTCTAAGCGCCGGGAGCAGCCCTCAGTGGGACCCTGAGCCCTGACTCTTGGCTGGGAAACATGGTCACAGCATCCCGAGGTCCTGGAGGCGGCGGTAGAACCCTCCTCGCGTGGCTAAGGAGCGGCCACAGATACAAGCAAAGAGGGTTTGAAGGGCCACGGGAAGGGGCAGTCTCATCCCGCAGGGCCCGCCCCAAGCAGGAGGCCCTGGTGCGCCCAGGTCCCTGCTCAGGCTCGGTCCCCAGTGTGGTGCGTGCCTGCCAGGCCCCGCCACCTGCCTCACCGCACCCACCGTCCTCTCCCCAGGATGAAGCCGGCCGGGAGTGTGAACGACGTGGCCCTGGACGCCTTCGATTTGGACCGGATGAAGCAGGTGAGCGCGTCCTCTCCCGAGAGACTGTGAAGGAGCCCGGGGCTGGGACCACCCCAGTGGGGCCCTCAGTCAGTCAGGGAGCCAGCAGTGGAGGGGGTCGTAGCATTTGCCCCAGGCCCACCCCTGCCCATCGCAGAAATAAACATCCCCTGCCGTCTGGGCACTCCAGAGGGGCCTGAGGTGCTGGAGGCCAGGCAGGGCCGGCCAGGGTGTCCCATCCCCCGGGCACACCATCCTCCCCCCGGCTCCGGGGTGTGGGTGAGGGTGATGCAGGGGCTGTGGCTCCGAGGGAGGCCCAGGACACCCCCACCCCGACAAGGCCGGCTTCCCGTCCCGGCCTCTGAGGCTCTGCTCCCACAGGAGATCCTAGAGGAGGTGGTCCGAGAGCTCCACAAAGTGAAGGAGGAGATCATCGACGGTGAGTCGGGCTCACCCTGGTCCTGTGGGCGGGCAGAGCCGCACAGCGGCAGGGCCAGGGCGGCCCGGCCGGGAGGCACCCAGGGCCCCGGAGGCCTTTGGCTTTGTGCTTCGGAGGCTTCATTCTCCCCCTAACAGCCCACAAGCCCTCCCCATTCTCTAGCCAAGCAAACTGAGGCTCAGACGGTGAAGCGCCTGGCTAAGTATACACACCTCCCAGGAAGCAGAGCCATTTTGTGGCCCTGGCCCGGCTCCCAGCTGCGTGGCCTGGGCTTGGGGAGCAGGTGGTGGCGCTCCCCCAAAGAGCCTGGTCCAGAGGGCAGGACCTGGCCACTGTGAGTCACACCCGCCCGGGCCCCCACCGAGCCTTTGATACAGCGGCTCAGATCTGGAGCCAGAGGGGAGGGCAGGGCTCTTGGCAGGGCTGGCTCTGTCCCGGGACAGCAGGGAGGCGCCTCAGGCCCCACCTGCTCCCCACCAGCGGGGGACGAAGTCACAGCTAGGTGGCACAGGGCTGGCGGGACTCTGGAGAGAGAGGAGGCGAGGGTGAGAGCCTACCTGGGTGACCGAGCCACACCCTGTCCTGGTCCCAGCGGAGAACACTGGGTTCCTGTTTGTCAGGTCCCCGCAGGCCTGAGCTGGACAGATAAGGAGTTAATGAATAGAGACAGCGAGAAGGAGCTGGAGCCAGGACGGAGACAGGCCAACTATTAACTCGGCTTCATAGCTGGGCGACCCCCAGGAGGGGCTGCCTGGGGCTGGAAGCAGCCTGTGTGGGAGGGAGCGGGCAGTGGGGCAGTGGGCTGCGGGCACAGGTGGAGCTGCCTTGGCGGTGAGCGGCCCCAGGAGTCCGGGCTCTGCGGCCGGAAGCAGCCTTTCATCAGACAAGGCCTGGCTCTCATCGGACTTTCTCTGGTGGCCTTGAATCCAGGCCCGGTCCAGGGAAAGGCCCAGATTTGGGGGAAATCCTAGGGGGTGGGGACAGGAGGAAGCAGAATCCCTGCCCTCCTGGGGGAAGAGCTCAGGCCAGGGAGGGGGGTGGGGAGGTGCCCACCTGCCCAGACCTGCCTGGGGCTCCTGGTGCCTGCCTGCCCCTCCCGGCTCCAAGGCTGCCTGCAGCCACTGCCCCCACCCCAGCGGGCCTCTAGCAAGACTGCCAGCTGGGGGTGCAGGGGAGCCCCCCAGACCTCATCGGGGCCTCTGACCTCTGGGAGCCTGGGTCTCAGGAGACCAGAGGCGTTGGAGCGACCTCACCGGAGTGGGCGGGCCCTGCAGAGGAGGAGGTGGGCTGGTTCCCGCCACAGCTGAGCTGCCCTCTCCTCTCCTCCTGTCCTCAGCCATCAGGCAGGAGCTGAGCGGAATCAGCACCTCGTAGCGTGCAGGGCCCGAGCCACGACCCCTGACGGACGGCGGGGACAGAGGAGCGCAGCCAGGCCTCCAGCCACCGAGCACGCACTGAAGCCAGGATGTGTTTCACTTAAGTCTTAACCTGTGAGAAAATATTAAAATGAGGGAAAAGTTCAATTCCTGGATTTTTTTAGATTCTACCTGACACAGAACACCAGGTCTACTCGCCTTTTTTTGTATTTTATATTTGTCTATTTAAGTGTACATTTCTTTTGGTTTATAGAAAAGATACCCCCAACCACACGCTTCATTAGGTGGTTCCGAGTTCCTCCTGGGTGCCCCCCGCACCTGGGCCTGGCGCACTGTGCCAGCAGCTCCTCCCAGCATCACGGTGTGAAGTCTGTCCACGCCCCTCGGTGTCTGTGTCCACGTGGTAATAAACGCTTACTGTCCACACACCGGCTTCCGCTCGCTCTCTCGCCTCCTCTTGGTCGCTCCTGGCTGGGGCACCCCTTGTGGGGGAAGGTCTCCCGGCAGTGGTGACCAGGACAAGATGGGGGCTTGTGGGGTAGCTGGGCTGAATTCAGACCTGGGACGACGGGAGGGTGAGCAGGCAGTTCAGGCACTTCCTGGGGGCCTGGGGTGGCCACGGGAGCCACACCCACAGGGGAGTGGGACGTGGTCTTGAGTGGCACCCTGGCCTGGAACTTCAGAGGGAGTCGCGTGCGTTCTGACCAGCAGGGCCGGGAGGATGAACCCCTCCTCCTCCAGCGCTTGGTTGGCTTGGCATCTGCTGAGCCCCCACAGGGGAGCCCCCGAAGCACCTGCCAGCCCGTCTCAGACCAGCCAGGGAGGGTCTGACTCGGCCGGCCCACGGGCAGGCCTGGAAATGCAGTGACCATGCCGCGGCCGCCAGACACAGCAGTGCCCAGCCACAGGCCAGCCGCATGGGGGCCACGGGAGGATGGGGGGTGGGGCAGGCCCCAGTCTGGCTGATGATGGACTGATTTTCCTGATCAGACTCTGGACATACTTCATCCCACTGAGTGTCCTCGGCTCTGAAGGGAAGGAGGTTGATCTGCCCGCCAGGAGGTGGGCCCGAGGCTCCGGTCTCTGAGAGGCTGCCCGCGTCAGCTGCTCTCCTGCTTCCTCCCACCTCCCGGTCCAGGAGGCCTGCAGTCTCGGGGCTGGGAGAGGGGGGCCCAGGGCGGACAGGAAGGCTGACTCCCGAGGTCAGCCGTGCCATCGGCCTCACCAGAGTCAGGCAGAGCCATGTCCCCCTCACAGAGACATGGGACACCCACCCGCCTCCCTTTGACTAGTCACCTCTCTGTCCAGCCACCGTGTGTCTGGCCTGTGGGCCCTGGTCTGTGAGAATCTCAAGTCCTGCAGCTCAGCTGGTTGGGGGGACAGACCCCATGGTGTGAAGCCTGAACCCTCAAGCCTCTGAAGGCTTCCCACGAGGGTGCAGGCTCGAGGCTCGATTGGGGGTGGGGGCGGGGGGCGGGGGTGGGGGGTGAGGGGCGGAGGTGGGGGCTGGAGCAGACGACATGGACCGAGGGGAGGCCATGTTGCCAGCACCCAGCAGGGTGAACAGGAGGGAGGGCTTTGGGGCACATGGACTTGGCAAAAATGCGGGGCCTTCTGCTGCCTACACCCCCAAAGGCTGCCCCCCACAAAGGCAGGGCCCTCAGGAAATGCTGCTAAGCACCCACGCGTGGGAGCAGGAGCAGGTGGGGACCGCCTCCAGGCAGCCAGGCCCAGGCTGGGGCCGAGACCCCTCAAAAGCACGTCGTGGATGTGGAAAGAAACGCTGATATTTAATTGAGGACAGGGGCACACCAGACAAATCAGCCCCATGGAGGCTGTGCACAGAGCGCGGGGCCAGGGCGCCCCGGGAGGCCCAGAAAGGGCGGCCTGGCCTGAGGCAGCAGTGAGTCCACGTGCAGAGCCTGTGTCCGCTGTCCCGACGCGGTACCGGAACCTGGGGACAAGCAGCAGCCCAGGGGTCCAGGACCAAAGGCAGCCACGGAGTTCTGAGCACCAGGCTGAGGGCCGTGACCACCAGCTCCGCAGCGACGGGCCGGCGCCCGCGGCCCAGCTCACAGGCCGTCCCCTGCCAGCTTGCACACCCGCTTCACCCGGGCGTAGGGCCCCAGGGAGTCCTCGAACACAAAGTCCCAGAGCACCTTCACCCACGAGTGGTGCTGCGGCAGGTGGTCGTAGTACTCGGGCGCGATCTTCCGCACCTGCGGGGAGGCGGGGGTCAGAGGCCAGGCCTTGGCACAGACAGGCCTCTGCCACACACGTGCACGTGAGCATGTACACACAGACACGCGTGTACACAAACACGTGAGCATGTACACAGTGGCACATGAGCGTGTACACACAGACACGTGGGTACACAGAGACACACACCCTGGCATCCCCAGGTGCCTGTGTCCAGCTCAGCCCGGCAGGAGGCTGGCTGGTGCTGGCCACTAGCCCCGGCACAGTCTCCGCCCCCTGCCCAGGCTCATATGCACCTGTCCCCGGGCTGCGCTGGAGTTTCTGACCCAGGAGCCGGGGGAGGCCGGCTGTCTTCCCTCAAGCACCTGCCCAGTTCTGAGGCACAGCCTGGCCTGGTCATTCATGCTCCGCACCCAACCCTCTGCCTTGGCTCCCACCACACCCCCCGTTGCCCACCTCTCAACCTCAGTACTTGTTTCCCAAATGCCTATCTTTCACCCCTCTCCCCCTTCAGCTCCTCACCCCTGCCTGCTCACGACACCCTCAGCTGCCTCCTCCAGGAAGTGCTCCCTGCCTCGGCACCTGCAGCAGCAGCACCACCGGCCCCATGGAGGGCACACTGGGCACACCAGTGCGCCAGGCCTGCGTTATAGCTGCAGACGGGCTCAGGGAGACCAGGTGACCTGCACGGGCGCCAGCAGGGGGCCATTCACTTTGCCCGGAAGTAAAGACACTCTCACAACCACCCGAGTCTAGGTTCTGGCTCTGCTGCTTCCTGCGACAGGCACCGCCCCTCTGACCTTTACCTTCTCATCTGTGAAATGGGGATAATGGGTAAGGCGGGCACCTGCCAAATCGGCTTGTGGTGAAGCGTAAGTGAGGTGGTGCTCAGCCCAGAGCCGGACCTCAGTGCCTTCAGCAGGGGGCCGGGGAGAGGGCCAGGGAGGGAGGGCTGCACACACAGGCTGTCAGACTCTCGGTCACACAGGCCAGGGCGCAAACACCTGCACACCCAAACGCTCACACATAACCACATGCACACATACATGTACACACTGGGCACACTCATAGGCACACATGCAAACCCCTAAAGGCATGTGCACACCCATGCACACACAGAAGACCCCACTGCCCCCTCTCCTGCCCCGAGGGGCACCTCAGTTCTTTCTATCCCACCCACACCAGGCTGAACTACTCCTCCTCCCGCCCTGCCCTCCCTCCTCCTTCAGAAATTCTCCATCCGCAGGCCTCCCAAGGCAGAGCCACCAGCCCTGAGGCTTCCACTCTGCACCAACTCAGGCCGAGCCCCTTGGGTCACAGAACCCTCCCTGTCCTCTCCGCCATGTGGGGCCCCTGGAAAGTCACGGGCAGTGACAAGAAATGCGGAGGGACAGGGAGTCAGGACCCAGGAAAGGGAGGTGCTTTACACGCACTATCACTACCCCTGCCCCGTTTTACAAGAGGAGGCAGAGGCACAGAGAGGGCAAGCAGTTTGCCCAAGGATGCACAGCCAGTACATGCCATAGCTGGGCTCATTCAGGTTTGCTTTACACTAAGCGGTCTAAATGGTAAATGCGCCTTGAGCCCCTGCCCTGCCGGGATTCACCTTGTCACTCTCCGGGCGCACACCCGGCCCCTCTCCTGTGCGGCCTCTCCCTTTGCCCTGGCACCACAACTGAGAACGTGGCCACCCCATGATCAGCGTGAAAGGAAAAGGAGGTCAGAGCCTGGCCCCAGGCCCATCCCGCCACACCTCCCGCCTCCTCAGACACGGTGCACCCCTCACCGCTGCGCCCCTGCCCACGCGGCCACCTACCAGGGGCAGGTTGCAACCGGGGATGCTGGGGAAGTCGTGGTGCTCCATGTGGTAGCCCACGTTGAAGGTGATCCAGTTGAGGGGCCCATAGTAGGAGTAGGTCTCGTGGCCCTTGACGAACATGTAGTGCTCAGCCACGAAGTGGCCGGAGATGGGGTGCAGGCCCAGGCCCAGCAGGGTGCTGGCCAGCAGGTAGACCACGGGCTTGAGCCCCCAGAGGGCGAAGATGGCCGCGTCGGCCGCCAGCTGGACCAGGGCGTTGAACACCTCCATGCGCGTCAGGGCCTTGGGGTTCACGCAGAGCGGCCGCAGGGAGTAGAACAGGGGCTGCAGCACCAGCCAGAGCAGCTTCCGGGCCGGCGTGCAGAAGAGCCAGCCCTCCAGGCGCGTGGGCACGTCCACGTCCAGCCCGTCGCCGCCCAGGTAGCGGTGGTGGTCCACGTGGTACTTCTTGAAGGAGGCGGCGTAGGGCACGCCCACGGGCAGGTTGGCGAAGACGGCGAACCAGCGGTTGTGGGCGGCGCGGCCCGTGCCGAAGGCCGTGTTGTGCGAGATGTCGTGGATGGCCAGCGTCAGCGAGTGGTTCACGCAGCCGCCAAAGGCGTAGGCCCAGAAGAGCAGCCAGCGCCACGCCAGCCCCCGCACCAGCCAGCAGGCCAGCAGCTGCACCAGCACCAGCCCCAGCACCGTCCACTTGAGATGAGGGTCCGGCCGCATCAGGGCCTTGATGGCCGGGTACTTGGCTGCAGGTAGGACCAGGAGAGAAGGTGGTGAGGAGGGTGCGGCCGCCTGGGCCCCCAGCCATATGCCCACTCTCCCTTCCTCCCTCCCTCCTCCCTTCATTCCATTTGTCCCACTGGCTTCCCTCCGGTCCTCCTCCGCCACCCACTAAGCCCCTGGGCAGTGACGCGGGATAATTCGCCCTCGAGGATCATGCTAAGACCTTGCCCTGCGTGTGATTCTGGACCTAGGACCAGCCGGGCCTGTGGGCACCCAGACAGGCAGACCTGCCTCCTCCCCACCGCCTGGGGGCGCTGGGGAGACTTCCCGGGGATGGGGGGCTTTGCCATCAGCCTAAATAAAGAGCAGGTGTCCCCACAGGTCACTGAAATGTAGTCAGAAATCAAAGCAGCTGCAGAGCCAGGAGCTGCCGGCTGCGCCCGTGAACCTCGCACACGGTGCAGCAGGCTGTGACCAGGTGGACCAGGCATATCGGGAGGCCGGGAGGGGCAGGCGGCTGGGAGGGGCACATGGAGGGCTCGGGCTTGCTCTCAAGTGTTTCAGTTCTTAAAACAAGATCTGAAGGAAGTGCCGTAAAATGTTGAATGTGTTTATTTGGGGAGAGGGGGTGTGTTTGTTATAGTATCTTTTGTATTTTCTATGTTTCGTTTCATAGAAAAGGAAAAAACAGTGAGAGTTGGGGTTAGCCAAGCCCACGGGCGCCTTCCCGGCCCAGAAGCAGCAAGCCCTGCCGGAACGGGGGAAAGGGTGTGGGGGGGCGTACCCTCTATCATGACAGCCGTGCCTTCTAGAACCTCTGCAGCTGCGGGCAGGAGGGCCGGCAGGGCCAGGCCGGGGAGGGTGCCACGTCCAGGGACAGGGACGGACAGGGTGACAGACGCCCACCAGGTCTGCTCCGTCCCGCCTCCCCGGGCACAGCAGGTGGGCACTCAGCACCACGATGCACAGAGAGGGAAACTGAGGCTATGAGGGTGGGGCTCGTCCCAGGGCCCCCTCAGGACAGGCAGCGTCCACCCTCCTGAGCAGTGGGCAGCCTCAGGCTCACCCTCCCAGGCTATCCCATGAAGAGGGTGCCAGGACGGCAGCAGGGGCTGGGCCACGACTGGAAATGGCCAGGCCAAGGCTGAGTCCTGCCCAGCTCTGTCCAGCTCTTTCCTTCGAGTGCCCCAGGCAGTGGCTCCCCCTCTGTGCTTGGTCCGGAAGGATATGCCAGCCCAGCTCAACCGACCCAAGGCCCTCCTCCCTCCCGCCGTCCTGTCTGCCATTTATAGATGAGGAGACCGAGTCTCAGGGTAATGCCTGGGCTCAGCCAGCACCGAGGGCATGTCCCCAGCCTCCCTCTTGAGAAGGTGCCTCTGGCATGGGGACGCCAGCCTTCAAGGTGTAGTTACGTCTCTCCAGTGACTAAGACAAGCCAGGTGTCCGGCTACAGCACCCTTTCTGTCAGAGCCACCCAGCAATAAACCAGGCTGTTTCAGAGGTGGTGAGCTGCCTGTCCCTGGGAGTATGCAAAGAGAAACACAGCAACATGGCAAAGGGAGTCTGCTCCAGAGGGAAGACTCAGGCTCACAATCGGAGTTCTGTGGCCATGGGTTCGTTCCCACCTCTGTGGGCCGTGGTGTCCCAGTGTGAGACGGCAAGGACACAGTGCGGCTCTCAGTGTCTGCCCCTCGAGCAGGTCCTGGCTCCCGGAGAGCAGGACAGCCCTCATCTGTGGGAGATGCTGGGGGGTATTGGGGTCCCCGAATCCTAGAATCACAGGCCACCTCTGCCCAGGGAGCAGCATCCAGAGTAGGTTCAAATCCCAGTTCTGGACAAGGATTTTATTTTAATTTAGGTTATTTTGGTTAATCCTCACCTGAGGATATTTTTCCATTGATTTTTAGGGAGAGTGGAAGAGAGAAGGAAAGACAGAGAGAAACATCGATATGAGAGAAACACATCGATTGGTTGCCTCCTGCACGCGCCCCGACCAGGGCCGGGGCCAGGAAGGAGCCTGAAACCAAGGTACGTGTCCTTGACCGGAATTGAACCCGGGACCCTTTGGTCCACAGCCAACACTCTGTCCACTGAGCCAAACCGGCTAGGGTTGGACAAGAATCTTGAATCCACACTATGTAAAGATCTCCTACAACTGAACAACAAAAGGCAACCCACCCAATGTAAAAACCGGCAAAGGACTCGAACAGGCATTTCTCCAAAGATGTGCAACTAACCAATGAGCACATGGGAAGATGCTCAGTGTCATCAGTCACTAGGGAAACGCAAATCAAAACCACAATGAGATACTGCTTCACCCGCACTAGGATGGCTACATGTAAAAAGCAGAAAGTAACAAGTGACGACAATGTGGAGAAATCGGAACCCTTGTTTGTACGTTACTGGTAAGATCACAAAAAACGGTACAGCTGCTGTGGAAAATAACTTGATGGTTCCTCAAAAAAAAGTTAAACATAGAATTACCATATGACCCAGCAATTCCACTCCTAAATCTATCCCTAAGAGAACGTAAGCCCTGGCCGGGCAGCCCAGTTGGTAGAGCGTTGTCCCCGTACTCCAAGGCTGTGGGTTTGACCCCAGGTCAGGGCACATACAGGAAGCAACTAATGAACGCATCAGTGAGTGGGACAGCAAATCAATGTTTTGCTCTCGCTCTCGCTCTCGCTCTGTCTCTCCTTCTCTCTCTAAAATTAATTGTGGTAAAATATATAGAGCATAAAATTTGCCATTTTAACTATGTTTTGCTTTTGTTCTTGCCTTTTTAAAACATTTCTCAGCTCCAAGCAGGTAACCTCAGTTCCAAGGAGCCGTCTCTGAACCACAGACGCGGTCGCTGGCAGGAGGAGGGATACGCACAGAAAGCCCAGGCGGGGAGCAGGGCTCGGGCCGTGCTGTGCGTGGCGGCTGGTCAGCACATGCGCCCTATGAGGCAGGGCTCAGGCGCACACAGATGCCCGACCAGCACTGCAGATCGTCACGGCTCCTGAAAGCTTTAGGACTGGGAGACGGCGGGGACCGTGCTGAGGCAATACCAGGCTGGTTGACTGCTCTCCCGGACCTGCCCCATGGTGGCTGCTTGGGTCGTGGCGGCACAGTGGGAGGCCAGCTGGCTGCCCAGGAAAGGCCAGAGGTCCCCTTGGGGGCTCGGCGCCCCAGCATCATCCCACCAGGTGGGGCGAGAGAGACCAAAAGACCCAGGTGATGGATGGGGGACACAGGCAGGTGGGCAACTTGTGGACCCCGCTTGGGAGGGGGGCAGGGGGCAGGCCTCATCCCAGCTTATTCCTGCCCCAAAAGGAGTCACAGTGAACTTCTGAGGGTGTGCCCAGGAAGATGGGTGCCTCCAGTGGAGGATGCGGGCTTGCGGGTGGGAATCCAGCAGGGAAACATGTTTCCCTGTGATGGCCAGGGCGAGAAGGAAGTGCCAGCCACCTCCTCGTCTGGAATGCCCTCGCCCACAGCCCTTGCCCACAGCCGGAGCCAGGCAATCGCAGGCAAAGTGCCCTGAACCTTTGCATACCTGGCTGTGGGGCGGGGACCACAGACCCAGAGGCTCCAGCCTCCCGCTCACCAGCCGTGGCCTCTGGGCACCCGCCTCCCCCCTCGGGCAACTGGGGGCCAGGCGCTCACCTGCCAAGGCGCACCTGGGAACCAACCGAGCCACCAGCCTCCACAGGGTGGGCCTCCCCTGCTTCCCCTTGGAAGGAGGCCAAGCCCGGGGCAGGAGGGCGGGGCAGGCCACACCTGCACCAGGTGAGCACTGACTCGCAAGCTCTGGGGCAGCTGAGAGGACCCTGGCTCTGGGACCCAGGCCAGCACACGGGCCACTCCTGTGCCCCTCAGGGGCCAGGGCAGGCACAGAGCTGCCAGCAGAGACCTTGGACAGTGGGCCTCCGGGGCCTCCATTGAGCAGATATTACGTCCTGCCTGTGGGAGCGAAGGAGAAGACCCCCGGGGGCTTCCCTGCCCAGCCCACCCTCGGGGGGGGGGGGTGGCCTGCTACCCCTTCCCCCTCTCCCAATAGTTTCCCACGAAGCTCAGGCACGGGGTGCCAGGTTCCCAGCCCCTCCCCCAGCCGCCCCACCTCCCCGCTGGGGCTCAGCGCCTCGATGCGGCCTAAGCCTCAGAGCCCCCGGAGCTGCTGAGACTGCGGTTACGACACCCAGTTCCCGGGCCTGAGGGCACGCACAGCCCCTTTCTGACCTCTGGGACCAGGTGCTGCTCAGGGAGGCCATCTGCCCTGGTTGCTTTTACCTCCGCTCCCGGGCCCGGGGGTCCCTGGACCTGGCCATCCTGCAGGAAGCAATGAAATGTAGGCCGAGGCGTGAGGCAGCTGGGTGCTGGCAGCTCAGGGGCGACCCCCAAGAGTGTAAGCTCCCGATCACCTCACTGGGCCTGAGAGCACCTTCCCCCACAGAACAGAGAGGAGCCCCCACAAGTTTGCAGGCCCAGCACAGCCCTCAGGGAAGCCTTGCAGAGCAGGCACTGAGGCCTACGGCGGGGTCCCAGGCGCTGTGGCTAAAAGTATGGGGGGTGGGGGGGGGGCATGGGCTCAGAGGGGACCTGGCCCCCATCGTGCTGGGAAGTGAGGCTGGGAGCCCTCCAGTGGAGACCCCAGAAGGCCCCTCCAGGACTAGGGCTCCTCTGGACCATCCTAACAGCCCTCTGCCCAGGAGCCCGCTGACTCCCCACCCCACCTCCCATCCCTTCACCCACACCTGCCAGACGGAAACTCAATCCTCACTCAAGGGAAACAAATATCTAACCTCTTCAATTCCAGAGCTTCTGGCCCCTGACAAGGTGGGAGCCTGGGGACCGCCCGGGGAGCCCCTCTGAGGACCACCAGCCACACAGACCCTGGCTGAGGTCACTGGGCAGGGCAGGACTTGGGGCAACTGGAGCCTTGGGCTTAGGGGTGTCAGATGGGGGAGGTCAAGGAGAGTCACAGACAGGAAGACAAGACAGGGGCCCACTGAACTTGGCAAGGTCACAGGGGCCTCAG